CGCGGCCGCGCGCATAGCCGTGAGTTTGGCCCCGTAGGCCCGCGCGATCTTCTCGAGAGCGAGCTGGACCTCGTCCGAGGCCTCGGCGGGCGGGAAGGCGCGCTCGGCCTCGCGAACCGCCTCGAGGCAGGCCTCGCGGACCACGCGCTGGAGGGGCTGCGGGCTGGCCGCGTCGGGGTAGCGCCCGCGCGCGCGCAGGCGATCGCGAATGTCGCCCTGCGCGGCCGCGATGTCGTCCGCGGCCCGTTCCTGGGTCTTTTGGAGGCGATCCAGACCCTGCTCGAGGCTCGCGCGGAGGCCCCGGCAGACCTCGTCGGTCTGCCGCCGCCGCCGCTCCTCCGCGGCCTGCACGAGGCGGGCGCCGCTCTCGTGGGCCTCGTCGAGCTCGTGGAGGAGGTCCTTGAAGGACTGGTTAATCCGCGCGGTGATGCGCCGGCAGCTGAGCTCGCAAGAGTCGAACAGCCCCGGCGGGGGACCGCCGCCCTGGCCATCCGCCAACCCTAAGGGGGTCTCCGACGAGGCGCGCGTCTTCACCGGGCTGGGGGAGCCCCGCGGAGGCGATCGATGGTCCCCCAGGCCCGAGCCACCGCCTTCGGCCTCTACGGAAGCCGCCGAGGTGAGCCCGCTCAGCACCCGATCCCTCCACCCCGCGAGCCGCTCATGCCCGGCCACGGCGCTGCTCTGCGCGACCCGCTGGGCCTCCGCCACGGCCCCCTGCACCACGCGCTGGAGGGTCATGGAGTGGTTCTCAAACCGCACCAGAGCCTCGTGGTAGAGGGTCTTGAAGTGTTGGAGCTGCTCCTCCTTGTCGTATAACATCCCCTGCAGGATCTTGGCCTGGGATTCGGAGATGTGCTTTCGCGCGTCGCTGGCCTGGCTCTCCTTCACGAGCTGATCCACACTACTCCGCAGCTGCTTCGCCTCTTCCTCGAGCTGTTGGGTCTGCGCGTGCTCCTCCTTCGTGACGTAGTACCCACCTTTTTCGTTCACGCGCTCCTGCAGGCGGTTCCGCAGTCGCTGGTTCTCGACCTCGACCGAGCGCAGTCGAATCTGAAGCTTTTCCCGTTCGGTGTTGGCGGCGTTGCGGATGCTCCGCGCCTTTACCGCGTACGAAAGGGTCGATTTGGTTTCCTCGATATCGCGACCTACGGATGAGATGCACGCGATCATCAACGTCCGCGCCGTCCCCCCTATTGAATCCTGCAAAAGCTCCGTGAGCTTCGAGTCGCGGTAGGGCACATGAGCCGGCCGGGTCGCTTCATTCGTATTCGAGAGGGCTAAAAAGACGCTCTTGAGGGCAAGAAGGGACTTGTTGATCCGACCGGCCTCCCCAGCGACCAACCCGCTGGCCTGCGACTTTTTAATACTCTCGGATCCCGCGAGATCAACCAAGAAGAGGTGCGCCACCTCGCTTTCCTCCGTGAAGGCATTAAATTCCTCCAAGTCGAGAATAAATACGACATGGGATCGACTACTGCGCTCGTTCATCAAGGTTTTGGCCGTATGACGCCACGCCAGACCTTGCTTGAGGGCCAGATTGGCATCCTGGATATGACCGAGGGTGACTTTATTCGTAAAACGAGGAAACCCGTTAATCAGGGTGATTTCCTCATCACCATTGGGACTTAGCATATCGGTCAGGTGTTCATTGTAGATCTCAAGAATAGAGAGCGATAACGCACATTGACAACTATCTATAGTCTTTGCCTGCACATGACTTAACATATAGGCAATGACCTTGTGTGCGATGCCGTTGTCTTCACCGTCGTTACCCAACATGGTATATGTTTTTCCGGTTCCTGTTTGTCCGTATACCATAATGGTACCGTTAAGCCCGTCCTTCACACACTCCAGAATCGGTTTGCAAGCATCAAATACATCGTCCTGAGACGCGTTCGTGTTGAAGGTTAAATCCGGATCGTAGGTCTTGGAGTCAAGAAGAATGCGACGACCCTGAAGATCTAAGCCAGTTGCGGCTCGCTCATTCGTAAAGAGCGGTCGGCACCGTACCGCTACCTTAATACTACTCATTTAGTTTTTTTCTTTTATAAATCGTTATTCAATTTTATTGTTTTTGCTTTAAACTAAATATGTATTTTTATTCGCTGACAATTGTTGTGTAGTGCAGCAATCATTGTCACTCACAACGAATATAACATCAACAGAATTGAGAAGAAGAGAATAAAATTACAATGTAAGGTTAAGACGACAGAGTTTGTCAGTTTCCACCACTAGACTGAACGTCGAGCTCATTATTTTTCACAAATCTCTATTTTTATTTTCTAATGAATGCGCCGAAGGATTCGCCTACAACACTTCGTTTGGCAGTAGTGACGTGATGCCTTTTTTTGACTATTTCCTATATTAATATGGTAAAGTAGGATATCAAATGCAAATAATTCAGACGCTCATTTGACTAAGCAAAGGGATAAAATGATAATCCCTACAGTTACTATTTATGAAATCAATGATAAAGCAGAGGATAACAAGATGCCTGCGTGGCCATTGTCACTATCACCAGGTTTGAATTCAACGCAAAAATACATCATCTTTTGTAAAAGCAAATAAAAACGGCATCCAAAAGAACGACACAGATACCTACCTGTTTCATTTTGGACATTGTTCGATTGAGGTACAAAAAGAGCCATAGCAACGATCCAAGTTGTTCGGCATACCTCATGACTTCGGGGGAGGGGTCATTCGAAGATTATGCACGTATATATGTGCATGTCGTAAATAGGAAACACGTAATCACATGGGTAGAACCATACCTTTCCCCAACCGCTCACTGATAGGGCAAAATATGACAATCGCAAGCCTATTGCCCAACTCATGAACGCTGTCTCACAATGGGTTAGACGTTCCTTCGTTGTAGGATTATTTAGCGAACTATATTAAACTCCATAAAATGGCGTGTCGGTGCATTTTTTCTATAATTTGATTCCTTTGGTACGGTGCTATCGGCGCTTTCGATCGGTACTCGACCCGATGCGTCTTTTTCGACATCGCCTTCACTTTTTACAGCTAACGACACGACCTTCACGACCTTTGCGTTAGGTGAGCCCTTTTGACACCACCGCTCTAATTTGTTTAGCTGCTCTACGGTGCCTTCCCCAAGGATCTCTACGCTGCCGTCCGGTTGGTTGCGAACCCAACCCGTGATACCTAGTCTTGTTGCCGTTTTCTTAGTGTGCTTGCGGTAGCAGACGCCCTGAACTTTACCGCTAACTAAAATACGGCGGAGATGGGTTGCCGATAGCGTAGTGGTGGATATTTTATCATGGACCCCCTTTAGTATCATTTGTGCTATTATTTAAAATTGATTTGAAGCTTGTAGAAGCGAGTATGCCTCGGATATGAGGGAGTAAATTAAATCCGGAGAGAGGTTGAAAGAATCAAGGAAATGCACATACACACACACACACATGTACGAAATGCTATGTTTTATAGCAAGAAGAAATTCCAAAACAAACGAGATTGATAACATGCATATTGTCATAAAAGCAACCTATGTCTAAGGCTTAGCAGGAATGGTTCGTCATCTAATATTACAACGGTGTAGTGCTTTGCTTATTTAAATCTGTATGATGGATAACTCGTTCACGTAGCGTCAACATCGAGGTGCGTGCAAAGTTCTTCACGGACTTCTCACTATTCAACACGCTTATTTGTACAGATGCAGAATTAGATGTGCCACCATCGTGGCGATTCACAAATTGCTACATTCATACGCAGACGGTATCTACCTTGAATTTAGAGCGCTTCCTCGTGATGATTTAAGGCATTTTACAGTCTCACTTGAGAACCAGAAGTTCGCTTTCGGTGCAGCTCCGCATGGGATTGCACGGAGGTGCATTTCCCGGCTCCGCTTCCACTGAATTGAGCGACTCGGCTCTAGAAATGTTGACGCCAACATGTCCATCATACTAACAGTGGTTCATGTACTCTACACGTCCAGCAGAAGTTGACAACAGCAGCCTTGACGGACGTCCCCCATCGCAGGTCACTTCGCTCCGACCTTCTCCCTTCCCCCCGTTTCGCTTCTTCCAAAGTCTTCCCAAGCACCCTTCAGGCGTCCCCAACACGGCCCGCCAGATGAGGGCCAGAACGACGCCACCCAACTCGCGCAAAGTCCTGTTTATACACCCAGTCCCCTCCAGCCTTCCACGCCAGCCCGTTCGAGAACAACGCACAAAGACGCGCAGTGTCTGTGGCCCACGGAGAGGTTTCCCATGTTCGATAGGCCCGTACCCCTCATATGGCGCGTTTCGAAGATCCTGAAGCAGTCCGATACTAGCATTATTCACTTTATTAGGATCCCCGAGTGAATCCGAGATGACCTCGTTGTAGATCCCAGTGTATCATACACGCACCATGGATCTTTTTTATCCTTTAGGACTGTCTCGAATACAGCCAAATAAGACGTTTCATACACCACTTCGGTATGGCGCCTCGGGCCTTCTTGTTGGCATGTCCTTCCATTGTATTGAATAATCAAATCCTGATGAGCCCTCGTCGCTCATCTACCGACTGACCTCGCGAGCCTATACATGGCGCTGAAGCGTCAGGTTCACTACAGTACACGCAAAGCCACAAAACCTCCGGAGGACGCGGGTGGGTAGTAATTCTTTAGAAGACCTCCTTTTCTTAGAAAGCTGTCTAAGCAAGCATGAGGAAAGAGAGAAATTTGATCATCGGTGGATGCGTTCCTTTACATGAAAGGGAAAATCACGCGAAACGCAGCCCCTGATTTCCACGTGAATTCCCTTCCATTCTTCGTCGAATCTATTACACAAGATTATGTATTAGTGATACAAAAAATGTCTAGAAAATGCGATGTTTACACATTTTATGCGTTCTAAAAGAATATATTCATATAGGAGGCAGTGCATTTCCACAGCTCTATAATTTACTTATCTCTTGAGTAAATAGATATCATTCCTTTTCCATGCTGAACTTGACTCCTCGAAGTTAACCAGGACATCTGTATATTATTATTTTCCTTTTCATCAGTTTAAATATACTAGTACTGTTTCTATGTATATGCCCTTCCCTTTACCCTACCATCGCATAAGTATGCAGGTATTTCCTCGCTGTCTCGTTTCATTCGCGCTTTTAAAATGGTGAAAAAACGTCATTCCGTGCTGCATCATGAAAGAAGTGATATCCACAACGACTCAATACGCATGTTGGATACGTATATAGACCAGTCAAACAGTGAAGGAAGAATTCACACATAGCAACTCAGATGGAAGGGGTGTAAGGAAGAAGAAATTAAAGCAAGTATTCTAAAGATTGGGTAATTTCTATTATGTTTAGTAGGACACTGTTATGACAATATCGAACACTTGTACGGTAACTAAAATAATCATAATCAATACTAGTAGAATTATGGCTGTAGTCATAATCATAAACTCTAAACATTGCGAAGGCGAAGTTCACAATCGGTGTTGTGTAACCGATTTCAACAACGATCTCCGCGTGAAGATCGCCCTTGTCCTGTTTCAGGACGGCTCAAGACAACCCCCCCCCACACAAAAAAAAACTTGCAACACGACCTACTTTTTCTTTCCCTTCGTGTTCTGCCGCACAGGTGTCTCCTTCCTGGGGCTAGGTTTCTTGTCTGCTGCCTTTTTTGTCGGAGTTGCCTTTTTGGCTGGCGCCACTTTTTTAGCTGGAGTCGCCTTTTTAGTTAGCGCTGCCTTTGCGGCTGCGTTTCCTCCACGCCTGGGTGCAGGCTCGCTCGGTGTCTTCCTTCCCGCGGCCGCTGTGGCTTTCCTGGGGCTGCTCGTCGGGGAGATTTTCTTCGTGCTTGCCTTTGCCGCTGGGGCCTGCGCCTTAGTTTTCGCGCTGGCGGCGCTGCCACGACCACCACGACTACGGGCTGCTCCAGTTGTTGTGGCCACTGCTTTCCTGTGCGCGTTGCCGCCTATCGAGCCCACACCGCGGTTGCCCTCTGAGGCCCCGTGGCTCTGTTTGCTCTGTATACCGGCCTTACCTCCCTTTTTCTTTTTGTCTTGTGGGGTAGGGACAACTGTCGTGGGAATTGCCTTGGTATCGTTGAGTCTCTTGGCGGGGGCGCTGAGCCACTCCGAGAGGCTTTGCTGTCCACGTGTTTTGTCCTTTGTTTTGACGTGTCGGCTGATGCGCGCCACGCGCCGCGCCGCCTCCTGCCAGGCCAGTGGGTTGCCGCTGGTGTCGCTCTTCGCAGGCACCATGGGAGACTCCACGGGTAGTGTTTGGTTTGGGCGTTGGATGTGGCTCGCTTCCGAGTTGTCCATGTTGTAGCCGCTAACTTTCGCGAGCCCGGCGCGCTGTAGGAAGTCCACCGACCCCGCCTTGGCCTGCGGGGTGGCCGAAGCCACCAACACGACGTCGGCGGGCACCGCGGGATAGGCGCCGGGGGTGGCACCCTGCGATTCTTGGGCAGCGGCCGAGTACATCCCCCGTTCAATCGGCACGCTGGGATCGGTAGATTTGCCCACACGTCCCACTACCGCCGTTTTGGTGATAACTGGGCGATTGCGCTGCTGCGCTGAAGGGTTGTGGTAGATAGGGTTCCCGACAGGGCAGGGTGATCGCATCACTGAAGATTCCCCCTGTTGTGGTGCGCCTTCTGTCGTGGGGGGAGTCGTAGGCCACGCCTCGGCATTAGCAAAGAGGGAACCAAAGGACGTCATTTGAGGCGTACCGAGCATCTTCTGGTTGTTTATATGCGCTTGTGGGTTAGTGTAGGAGGGTTGAAGCTGATTCCCCTCACTGGGGGTTTCGTCTCGATTGTGTCCTCTGAAAATTTGCCCGACAGAACTGCTGAAAAACTTGGCGTAGTAGGAGGTAGGACCCTCTTCTGCGTGTGAAGTGTGTGGTGGTTCGTTGGCTATACCAGATGGAGCTAAAACTACCGGGGAAGTCGCTGTCACGTTGGACTCGGGCTGGGATTCAGCCCTGGGTAGCGTAGTACCGGTCGTGATGTCCCCGAGGTCCGCGGCGTGGCCTCCCTCGACCTTTTCATGGTGCTTTACCACCTCGCCAAGGCCGGATGTTATAGACGGATTCTGATGGAGGGAAGAATCCACCGCATCACTGCCATGTCCTGCGACCGGTGCCTTGTGGGACTGCCCTGTGGGGATCGACTTGAGGGTAAACCGTCCTGAGTTGACTTTCGTGTCTGTGGAAGTGGGCAGCGGCATCGAGGCGATCACTTCCTTTACGTCTTCGGGATAGCCAGCGCAATTTTGCTTAACCGCCTTAACCGGAGGGGTCTGATCGGTTAGCAGCGGTAGGCTCATTCCGCGCTGCATATGAACGAGGAGAACTGTAATGCGGGCTGCCTGGACGGTAGACTCATTGAAGTCCTTGATATAGTAGTTCTCCACCACATCAGACAGTAGCATATGCAGCACTGGAGTCTTGTTGACGTCTGTATAAATGGTGCGAAGGGATATAAGAAGACTTTCGAGCTCATCCGGCCTTAACGGCGAGAAGCGGGTGGCCATTTTCTCCGTGAGGAGATCTAGCCATTTGGAGTCCGGATGCAGACTCGGAAAGGGTCGTACAGCGGCAAGGTATCGCACAACACTCCGCAGTGAAACGCGGTGCACCATCAGCAGGTTTTTCCCACCAACCTTCACGAAGGTATTGATATTGACGTCAGATTCACCAAAAACAGAACTCAGCAGCTCTACTAGTGAATCGAACTGCTCCGGGGAAGTCGAAGCCTGCTTAGCAGCTTCCAGTGCTCTGGAGGGATCTTGTGCAGACCCACCTTTGTTGGAAACCAGAGGCAAGCAGTATAGGATACTTGTATCCCACTTGGGCTCGTTCAGCCGCTGATAGAGGTAATAGTTAATCGCGTTGACGAGCACAGGACGGCCACAATTCAGAAGCACCCTTGCATCGTTTGGTGAGAAGCGTTCCTTAGCTTCTCTAAGATGAGTCACGAGGGCAGCAACCACCGGACCCTCAAAAACGGCGTTCCCGAGGACCATCGGCAGTATATCTACCAGCTGTGATCCGAACATCTGAGAGTAATTCACCTGAGAGACAAAGTTGCTGTCGTCGGGAAACGCAATGGCGAGATTCAGCCGAGTGAGCCCTGTCGCCTCTGGGGAAAGCAGACGCAGGGCCACGGCTCTTGCTTCATATAACCATTTTGGCGTGGTTGGCAGCGACGCGAAGGTTGCGCAGATGTAGCTCAGCTCGGATAGCTTCATCTCCCCTATAAGCGCCTCAATCCGCTCGGACAGCCTGGTGGCCATGTTGTGCGTCAGACGGTCTGCGCGGCGCAGAATACCGGTAGCCATGGCTAACGGCGTTGGCTCAAGGGCCGACAGCTCCGTTGTCAGGTAGTTAGTGTACCTGTCAAAGATTGGACACTGACGTAGGCAGCCGCTAAGCTCGTAGGAAAACACAATGGTTGTGACATCACCTGGGTGCTTCCAATACAACTCGTCCTTTTCATCCATAAAGCGTAGCACGAGTGGATGGTATTCTTCCAGCAGGGCCGTAAAGTTATCATATAGACTTTTAACATCCTTTTCCATAACCTCGTTGATATCAGGTTGCAGCGTGCTAATAATGTTAGCAATGCCATTGAGGATAATCGATGTATCTTTGCCGTTAGAACTCAGTGAGTATTCAAGGGACGTGCATACCAGCCACTTGATTAGTCCGATCGGTAGAGGCTGAAATCGATGATGACGACCGCAGGATTCCATCAATGTTGCAAAATCGTAGGACTTCAGACCCAATGGGACATGCGCTATGACGTCAAGAATATTCCGCGCCTCTTCGCGCTCCGCGTGTACCATCCAGGCGTAGATTCGGAGCAATGAAAATTCCAAAGAAACTAGATCTTGCTCTTTGGTGGTCTGTAGCAACATCAAAACAGCCTTTGAGAGGCGATCGTTGAGGGAAATGGGTACCCGCTTTCCGCACTGTTGTAGAACCTTGGCGCAGAGATCCAAAACGCGCCACGCTGTGCGCTGCTCTTCGCATTTTTCATCGGCGGCCTTCCCGGAGAGGTTATCGTAGTGGACCTTGAGAATCACCTCGACAGTAGCGAAGCTGCGCTCGTAGTTTTCCTCTGGGCGGATTCTCATCAGCGCCAGTGTCGCCTCCATCCGTTCAACAGGGCTTGCCTTCGCGTCCTCTACCGTGCGCACGAGTTTGTTTAGTAAGAGCGAGATCATTTCCATGTCGGGCTGAACTTCAAAAAAACGTAAGATCTGTGAAAATGCAATAGCGTTGCAAGTTTGTTCAAGCCAAGCGTTGACGTTGATTTTCGGAACCTCCGATTCGAGAAAACGACAGGCCTCATTTCGCGCGAATTCATACTGAGCCTTTCCACGAAATCGGTTCTTTAAAATCGACGCACGGCGCACGAAATCTGTGATTTTACAATCAGAGTTCTGCAAGGCTGCGTTGGAAGAATTCTCAATTGACGCTTCAATTGTCGTACCAAACCTTTTGGAAAGCACACGCACGCCACCAGTACCTAAATAATAGGAGCGTGTAAGGAGGCGCATTTTATCAGTTTTGGAGACTTTCGAGAATACGTGTTCGGGTCTGTGAATGAAATTCGAAACAAAGACCAAAATGGGAGTGAATATACCGCCAGTTCGAGTCGCTGTGGACCGATAAAAACGACAGAAAGCGGGCTGGCGCAACACGTTGGAAATAATAAGAGATGAACCACAAATCCTTTATTATCCTCGCACCCGAACTACACTTGTATTATTTTTTTAGTATTTCGTTAATTTATTTTCTATTGTTATGTTCGGTTATTTGGATTCTTTGGCCCTCTCTACAGTTTAGAATAGAATATAAAGGTCAATCTAATAGTCAATCCTACATTGGAAAATTTGGGTAAGAAAAGGAAACGGATAGAAGATAAATTTCATAGAGGTATTCTATCAAAGAAAGCATTAACTGCATACAGAATAATACAAGGATAAAACATGTGGACAGCAATATATTTGATTTGTTTCTTCAGTGTTTTAGATTCTGAAGCTATTCCTATATAATGATGCCTTTCGGCAAATAACTATTCCTTCATTTTTTTCACTACCTACCTACATCCTTTACATCCCTTTGAAATGTAAATGTTAATGATATTGTTAATATCATTCGCGTGCGGGAATAAATCCTTAGGCAAAGGATCAGAACTTCAATATACAAGAAGGCTCTTCTCCTGTACCAATCCCTTATCATGCTATTTTATGCTATGCGCACATTTTGAGTAAACCACGATGATATGAATGTAGAAGGGCAGGGAGAAAAAGTAAGTAACCGAGGAAGCGCTACATTTCTTTTCCATGTCATTACAAACTGTTCCTCCCCCTCCTCTTCATCTAAGCATAAGACGCACAGTGTTACTCTTCGTCGAAGAGCCAATTGGCATAAGAAATAAATTCAAACTAGAAGAACAAATGTGAAGCCAACATTGTTGCATACCTGTGTCCAATAATGGGGTAAAAAATCCACACAGGCATGCACGTATATATAAATATAACGATATATATATATATATATATATATGATTCGACTAATTCTAGTTTCACACCTCGTAATTACAATTGAGGATTTTATGGAAGAAACACACACCCATATGTAGGACATGAACAAGGAATGCGAAAGAACATCATACCTTCAACCCTAGTGAGAATTCCACAGTAAGCATCGAAGCTCATGAGAGGTGCCATTTGTAGTTCACCACAGAGGCGTCCCGCCGGCAATATTTTGCTATTCCATACTACGGTTCTTATGCGGTGTGCTAGTTTGTGATTGCCAGAGATCCTTCTTCGGCATGACCGGCCGCAGAATGGTGGGTAAGTCCACAATGTCCAGCATCTTAGTCATCGGTGCGGAGTCATCGGTTTGAAAAGTAGCGACGCGGCAGTTTTCGATGTTAGTATTACCTGTCGATATGATCCACGGATGGGATAGCAACTCTTGCGCAGAGGGTCTTAGATCTTTGTCGTAGACAAAGCACAGCTTCAGGAAGTTCTTAAGCTGCAGTGAGGCAGTACAATTATCAGGAAGCTGCGGTGGATATTTTGCTGCTTGTAAAACACCAAAAAGAGCTGCGGTTGGATTGCACATTTTATCTCCAAAGGGCTTCTTTCCACTAATTAGCTCATACACTGTCACCCCCATACTCCATATATCGGAACTAGTAGTGTAACCAGCTGAGCCGACTACTCGTTGAGATTGCGATGACGATGATCCCGCGCTAGACGACGTCCCATTACTACTACCTCGGTAAGATACACCCCGTATGGGATCGTACCGCCCGAACATGTGCTCGAAATCGTCTTCGTCTGTTTGTCCACCCATTATGACCTCAGGGGCCATATACCAAGGTGTGCCCACAACCGTCATCATAAATCGCTGTCTTACAGATTCATGTTCCTCCAAATCTGATTCGCCAAAGAAGTGTTTTGCTACGCCAAAGTCAACTAATTTGCACCGTCCTTCTGGTGTGACCAGTATATTCCCAGGCTTGATATCACGATGACAGACGTGAGCGACCATGTGCAGGTAAGCCAAGCCCTCCAGAACATCCCGTGTGTAAAGCCGAACGACACCCTCCGGTAGTTTCTTACGAAGTGACAGAAGCCGCTCCAAAGAGCCCCCACCAACGTATTCCATCAACAGCTGCACACCGACTTTGCTACGTCGCACGCCGTAATAGGAGACTAGGCAGGGGTGCCGACAGCATTGCATGACGCGTATTTCGCTTAAGATATGAGAAGCTGCGGCATCGTGGGCCGCCCGTTGCTCCTTGTCTAGTTCCTTAACGTTGTCATGGCCCACCATGGCGGGGATGTCATAGTAGGGGATTTCCTTAATGGCAACAAGCCGTCCGGTTTGCTCGTCGAGACCCAAGTACACGGTGCCACATGCCCCAAAGCCAACCTTTTGGTTTAGTCGTCGTATATGCTCCATCGGAAAGCAAACATACACACTTGACAACGATGAGGGGTAGAATATAGTGAAATGAGAAAAAGAGGACTATTGATGCTAATAATATAGTACCCAATACTTTCCTCTTATGAGAGGGGTGGAGGAGGGAGTAGAAAAGTCGCCTGAGTGTTTGAACTTTTGTTGTTGTCCTTCACTACTACAGGAAGGCGTTTACTGTTACATACTGCATGCAATGTAAAGCACCCACTGTGCACGTATTTTATTGTAAAAAAATAAACCAATAAGAAAGAATAAGAATTATTTCATAGAATACAGTGAAGTGGACTTCACTCAAGAAGTATCTAGAAGAAATCACACTTGTGAAGTTCAAAAAAATCGTCTCCGCATAGATGGGAAGATGAAATGGAGGGAAGGCAAAACTAATCATGTGATTTCTATTTGTTTGTAAAGTATTGTAGTAAGAGAGTACGTACCGTTCGCATACGACAATCACACATTTTCTATATTTTATGCATACTTTAATTTTCCATTGATGAGTTCTCTTCTCGTCTCTAAATGGGAGAATGAGATTTGTTGGTGTCTATACTACGAGGTCGGTGCCACGATCGCCACCGGGTGAGCGCGCAGCACGACCTGCAAATGGTAGGACTCCACCGTTTTGTTTCTTGAATCGTTAATAAAAATCCACATAGGCCACCGACCTTCGAGTTGGCCGGGTGGCAGGGATAACATGTCGAATTGCAGCGAGATGTACTGTGAGTCACTTGGGGCCAGTCCAAAGGTGTGCGGATTGATCTGCAGTTGATACTTGTAATTGTGATGCACGTGAAAAACTTCATCGGCAGCACCATGATTAGTAAACTTCAGTCGACGGAAAACTGGAGCTCTGACATCATCCTGGGAGAGCTCGATCACCTGCGTAAAGGTTGGGGTTGGGTAGACTACCGGTACTGTAAGTAGAAATTTCTTTAGTATATTTTGTTGGAGCATATGAAGGAGAAGTTGCTGTTTCCCCATCTCTCGAGGTGTGATATGTAGCACAAAGGATGAACCCGCATGCGTCACCTTTACGTTACCCTCATCACAGTACATCGCATCGATGCCCTCAGCGGGAAATCCCAAAACGGCCGTCTGACCCCAATAGATTTCACGGGGCGTGAGGTATTGGCAGGGGAATACACACAGTTCCCACGTTTCGTAGACTCGTGTCATAGCTGCATCATAAAAGAGTGTAATGTGCTCGATACGCTGCTGGTTCGGTTCCTTTGGAATTGTGGTCGTGATGGACACTTCTTCCCAAGCTGTGATGTAGCTTTGAGTGATGGGATCAACAAGGGCATTAGTTTTAGCCTGTGTATCCTCCCGCGAAGTGGACACAAACCCACACATCTGTTCTAAGCGCTGCAGTAATTCTTTCTGACTTGACGCAATAGGGAACGCTGACGAGTTAAACACACGTGAGAATAAGCGCTTCGTGATCTCGCTACCAACTGGACCAAATATTTCGTAGCGCCGGTCCACAATCGGGGCGACCAGCGTAGCGTAGATATCAATCCACCGCACTAATTCACGTTTTTCAGTATAGACCTTTGCTATTATGTGACGAGTATCACCGTACTGGGTTGTTTTTCCGAAACCCCCTGATGTGTTGGGGCTAAGGCGCAGAACTAACGGGACCTCCGTTCGTTCCTTCGGTCCCAAATAAAAGGACAAGGCTTTGGTGTCTATTGGCGTACACACATCAACGTCATCAGGAACAACCTCCACAAAAAAATGTAGTGCGATCGCATGGGGATTTTGAAAAGGCGTTCGAATGATCTCCGACCTCCACGCCACGACCTGCAGCCTGTGAGACACAGTTACTCGATTCAATAAGGCCTTGGCGATAGCTTTACTCTTGGCCTCGTCACGTTCCTTCTCCGCGAAACGGAGACGATATTCCATTTCTGCCTCATCCTGTGTGGCGCGAATGTGTGCGGCCGGTACACCAGGGAGCAAGGTTCCGATTCCATCCTTCGCGAGCCGCTTCTTCAAGTGCCCCACCCGCTGCCAGTGCAAACCGCTCGCGGTGTCTTTTGCTTCGCCGGTGTGTGCGGTTGAATCCGCAACCGGGGACCGTGCGGCGACGGTTGCGTTTTCCTCACTAGGGTGGTGCTGTGAAGCGTTATTAAGGCGGTCGGTACACGGCAGACGCTTGGCCACAATTAACCGTGCACCGCCATGCGGTTCCTCGAGTGTGGCCGTCACGGCAAGTTTCAGGTCGGCATCGCCTCTGCCCACACCGACACAGAACAGACTCAGATGAAGTTGGCCTGCGTTGGGCATAAGTGGAAATATCTCCGGTGGGATGACTTTCTCAGTCATGGAAAAGTTGCGCTCCAGGGTGAAATCCATTGGGACGATCCCTGCGACAGCCCGGTAAGGCCTCACGAAGTGAGCCAGCGGCAATTTGGCCGTAGCGATGTAGAACATCTCGAGGGCGTCGTACACGTGGACGTACAACACCCCCCCACGCTGTTTGAATTTAGTCATGGAAACACTCCCCAGTGAGTCTATCGGTTCATGCCATATGAACCCCGCGCGCTCACCATAGTAAAGTTTAAAGCTTTCCGTCACGTCGTTCTTGTCGACCGAGACGGTGCGCATCGCCCCTACCTGCTGGTACGGCAGAGGACCAAAAGAGAACATCATACACACATTCGCGGGCATTGCAACCACACGGTCCAGGGTTATCCCTTCAAAGCGAATGCCAAAAATTGAGGCCGGTAGATCGCCCACCGCAGGCGTGCTGTCATCGAGGATGCTGCCCTTGAACGGGTGTAAAATGGGCTGCTGGCCTTCCTGGATGGCGCGGCGAGCGGCCCACGAAATCGCCACAGGCCGGGGTACCAGATCAATCAGGTCAATTGCATCGTCAGCGAGCCTTTGATTTCGTCGTTCGAGTAGGGCAGGCGATAGCACTGCCAGATCTTCGCCGCGCCCACCGCCGGTTGTTTGCTGAAGAATGTGATGTTGCGTCTCGCGTACCTTCTGGAGTTCCTCCATTATACTAGACAACATATGGAAGATGCCGTCACCTCCAACTGGTGGCGCCGCAGTTCCTTTGTATGGTACCAAAACGCTTTGTTGACGAACGTTGGTTGGGATTGCTTCCAAGACGGTTCCCGAAGAGGGCTCCCCCCCTTCCTTTTCTGAAGAGGATAGAATATAGGGACCTACCTTGGGCACCGGTGCTACTCGACCATCCTCTGTTTGTTTGGATAGACTTATTCCCTTATCATCGGAAAGTTTTGTTCCTTCTTCATTACTTACAACAGAAGACGACTTTGGTGAGGACGCTGCAGCTGCTGTGAGAGGTTTTGGCAACCCCGGTTGTACCTCTATGTTATGGTACTCTATGGTCATGGTGACAGCAATAGGCACACGACCATATGGAGTCGATGAATCCATCATTAACATGCGAGCGTCCTCACAGGAAAAGGGACCACGGAGCGCAGGCAAGTTCTCCACTCGTATATCGCGATTTTCCATTGGCATCAGACACAACGGAAAGACACAGAACCCTGCCACCTTGAAGAAGTGATCCCCAGGCTTTCGGTACCGGATTGCGATGACAAGGGAAGTGGTAGAGTGAACAGGCAGCCCACTGAATTCCAGAGGAATATCCGAGTGTAGCACGGCGTATTCATCCGACATATTTCCTTGCCTTTTGATACTTGAATCCTTAGTAGAATCAAGGTAGGATGAATCCACGCTGTAAGAATAGCTGTCTATCGAATCCGCAGGGCTGTTGCGTTTCACATGACTGTCCATACCGGGGGCTATGGTTTTAGAACGTATTCCTTGTGGGGAAATCAAAGACACCTCTGCACCCTTGCCCAGCTGCTGATATCCATTGTGAGCCACCGCTGCGATTGCCCATTCGGTATGCGGGTCGGACAACTCATTTTGCGAGTCCTTTGTGGTTGCCGCGAGCTCGACGTTTTTGACCAGAAGCCGAAACGACTTGGCCTCTGGATGCGGTGTGGCCCTAGTAAAAGCTTCGGATACAAATATGCCGGGTGGTACAAGCTCCCGCATCAGCCTCACAAGGTCAGGGCTGCTGTCTATCACGCACGTATAGCCCAGCTCACCAGACGCGGGCGCGGTGAGCCGGCTCATAGCTGGCCACATCCCCTTGTCCAGCAAGAGCAAATGCGCGTTCCCTGGCCGAAGGGAAAAGCTGCAGAATCTGCTGAGGCCCTCGATGGCGGTGTAGGCCCAGTGCGTGACGCGTATTTTCTCTGGCGGGGCATTGGGCCGCACGTCGCGCGCTATGAGCTCCACCACCAGCAGCTGGCGTGGCGTTGACTGAAAAACAATTGGTTCGCTGAGGCGCTGTGTTCCGCATCTGTACCCTGCCCCAATAAATTTTCCTTTTGCCGGGTCGAATAGAGATAGGTTAATTTCATCGGCACTGCTCACAGGGTCCCCTTGCTTTTTGGAGGCATGAAATTTTAGTTCCACAGTAGTACACGCACCTCCCAGACTCTTGACCTCGTTCTTCGCTGCGGTACATTCCCACGTGTCGTACCGAAAGGCGTTCGACAGCAGAAGCCGCGCAGTCTGCTCAGCAGAGCGTGGACATCGGGCAAGCACAACCATTTAAGCGGCCAGTATAAAACTAAATATGTGAATAGTTCCTTTCTATTTTTTTTTTGTGAAAGCTATAGGTGAGAATACATCATAAGTTGTGGGAAACATAACTTGTTTCCATTAGTTAATCTTGACTGTTGTTTAACATTTGTTGCGTACCTTATACTTGGAGACACGCCCACACTTGTGAAGTAAGAATTTTGATGATCCCATTGCGTCTGAGGGAGTTGTGGATAGTACGTAACAAGTCAAGAACACTTGTCAATTTGGCTCAAAAATGCGATGTTGGTTTTTTCCATGCGTAGGATAGTTTAGAATCGTCTTGGGACTCATAAATTTATATACTTTTCCTTTTAAATTTTCACAGTTTTATTAACTCAAAATTCTGTTTCACCTACACATATTTTGTATTTTTGTCAGATAATTTAATATCTAAAAGACACCTGATCCATAAAGGGTTATGTAAATACGTAACCTAAGTTGGTACATGTCTGTGTGAATTATTATCTTCCCCAAAATTTGTGATAAATTCAGGATGGGTGAAGAACAAGAAAAGCAATACATTGTATAACTACATAAGTTCTCTATCATTTCTTAGTGAGGGTGTAGGTACATATGAGATAATACACAGATAAAAAGATACGCATAATAAAGTATACATCGTCACTTTCAAAAGTATTATCAGCATTATTAGTTTACTCTGATGAGTTTAAAGAGTCTACGCTAAAGCGTTCTCGATATTTAAGTAAGAAAAATTGCTTCTAGGAGAAAATCACGCAAATTACCACAGCTTTCTCAAATTGGTTGCGTGTGATGCTTCAAGTAAGCAATAGCACGCTCATCGCCTCTTTCCCGAAGTTTCGGCTCTAGCTTATCGACCACAGTTGCGTGGTACACATTCACCCAATCAAGTTCCCGTTGGGTGAGAAGATTGACATCGATCAACTCACGGCACAGGGGCACCATCGTTAGATATGACAGAGTTAGAAAGCCGTCTTCACTGTATTTGGTCGGTTGCAGAACAATTTCCTCTAGATTTTCAATACGTATTCCAAAACTGCCCTCTTTATAGTACCCGGGCTCATTGGACACGATACAGTGGAGATCAATGGTAGCTCCCGTGGGCATCGGGCGACTGCCAATGCCATGAGGCCCTTCGTGGACGCAAAGAAAGGAACCAACACCGTGTCCGGTACCATGAGGGTAGTCCAGACCAACCTGCCATAGCGCCAGCCTCGCCAGGGCGTCTAGTCGGTGGCCACCAGTCCCTTTAGGGAAAATCACTTCGTTCAGGGCGATGTGCCCCTTAAGAACCCGCGTGTAGGCCTCCCGCTCCTCATCGCGCGGTTTATCGAAGCTGATAGTGCGCGTGACGTCGGTGGTCCCATCCCAGTACTGCGCACCGCTGTCCACAAGGTAGAGCTGGTCCCTGCGGAGGATGGCGCAGCGGGTTGGGCTCGGCGCGTAATGGCATATCGCGGCGTTGGCCCCCGCAGCCGAGATGGTACCAAAGCTGGGCTGAAGAAACCACGCGTCGCTTGCCCGGTACTCTTCCAGTCGCTTGGCCGCCTCATACTCGTTCAGTGAGGTGACCCCTTTTACCGCCACCTGCTCATACACCCAGGCCAGGTACTGGGTGAGGGCCGCGCCATCGCGCACGTGGCAGGCGCGAAACCCCCCGAGCTCGCGGTCGTTTTTGATGGCCTTCAGGCTCTGCACACAGCCGCAGCCAACGCGCTTCACCGATAGGTTTCGCTCCGTCAGGACGTGGTACACCGCCTGGCTCGTTTGGCGCTCGTCCAGAAGCACCACCTGCCCTTCAGGAAGTTCCTGTAGCGTTGGCACCAGTGTATCATAAGGGAAAAATTCCACCTCTGACGCACATTCGTCCCGCACCGTCGGGGTAACCTTTGCCAGGTCGACATAAACACGAATCTTTGGGGTTGCCTTATCCACAATGGCGTATGCATAAAAAACAGGGTTATATGGAACATCCCGGCCACGCAGATTAGTGAGCCAGGCCACCTCGTCCAGAGATGAAAGCACAGTGAGATCGCAGCGTTGTTTCTCCAGTTCGGCCACAATCATCGCTCGACGTTCCGCCACGGTCGCGCCGGAGTACTCCACGGGGCGTCGATACAACGGCTCGGGAGCATGCTCACTTGACATCATTGGGCTCACTACATCTTCCATAGCCTTGAGAGTTATTTTCTTGCTCAGACGCTCCCATTCCGCGATGGTGCAGGAGTATGGATCGATACCCACTACCGCACTGGTGCCTATTTCCTTCACAATCCAGTCCTCGATAGACAGCACGTCGGGATGTCCCTGTTTCATGAGCTGAAACTCGGGGTAGAGGAACTCCGCGGCGTCGATCCAGTAGCGGCCGTCGGTCCAGAGAAGCGCCTTCTCCTGCGTGATGACGGCGATGCCGGCACTGCCTTTGAAGTTGGTGAGAAAAGCCCGGCGCTGGAGGTGTGATGCCACATACTCACTATTGTGGGAATCACTGCTAGGTACAAGAAATGCATGAACAGGGATGCTCTGCATTTTATCGCGGACGGCATTAAGAATCGCGGCGCCTGATTTCATTTTTAACTGCGTAGCTAACTTGGAAGTGGACACAGCTACAGCAGATGCGCCTTTGATTTTTTGTATGAAACCTCCAAAGGACCGTAATTCTTCACTCAGAATTCCCTATTATATGAAATGAAATGATGAGGTAATGGATTTCGGTCACGTTGAGAAAGTTCCGTGCCTAAAGTAAAGGTTTATTTTTTATATTATCCCTATTCATTCCTTGTTGTACCAGCATATACACACAATGACTAATTTATTTAATTTATAGAAGTTCAACAAATTTACTCGTTCATCCTAATCGGATTGACCTGTAATAAGTAAGCTTAATGAGAGGGGAAAATATTATACTACTAGCGAAAAACGTTTTATATATTTAGTAGTGATACAACAGATCATGAATTTATATTGCAAATCTGTTGCTTTTCTAAATGGAAGGAAAAAAAGATGGGGATTTATTACTCACAATGGACAAGGTACTGAAGTGCATCCTCTATGTACCGACACACTTCGTTACCGGTTAAGGAATCAATTCGACTGCCAATAAGATTCAGAGCCAGAGCCATGACGCGCTGCGCCGCCCGGCGCTGGCCTAGGGTGTGCACATCTGGAATGAAAAGCTCAAAGCGTTCCTTGGTTTCAATATAATTCAGGGTCTGTGCGCGGCCCTCAACTATAACATTGTAACCATCTTTGCTTAACTTTTGTAGTGCATTCATGGCGAAGTGAATGACCTCACCTTGCGTATGCTGAGCCACTGTGGGTACATATTTTCCAATGAAGGGCCTTTTGAGAATGGTGTTGGCAATGTCATCTACCCGCACATTTCCATCCAACATAATGTGGTACTGATTGTCGCTCTCTGTTTTCTCAAAAGTGATGCGCTTCTCCAATGAACGCAGAAGCTCAGGAGTGAGGGTCTCGTCGGATATGCACTTTCCAGACTTGGTGAGTTCTTCATTGCATAGGTAGGTATAGCAGCGGAACACATTGCCATTGCTCCATACAACGCATCGTGGTAGAGTCTTCCAAAGTTTTGAGACGGTTGTTCCCTTTCCGGTCCCGCTGAGGCCCTGCACCACAATCACATTGCCTTCACTAGAGGGCAAATGCGTAATGATTTCGTCTGTTATTTCTTGTGCTGTGCGGTTTTTAACATTAATTCGGATCGATGGAGGGTCTTCAAGCTTCCTATCGAGGATGGCCATGCTGATAGCTAATTCAATACCTTTCTCAAGTTTTTTTCCATCTTCCTTGTCTCGTATAATCATTGCTTGAGCCTCCCTGAGAGCTAAATCCTTAAATTCAGATCTATTCTCGAGAAGTTCAATTGTGGCTGAGCTACATACATCGTCTTGTTGCTTTAAAATGGCAGCTGTTAGACACTTCAAATGCATCAGTCCACCCTTTGATGTTGCAATGAATCGTTTGCTAGTCTTCACAGAAGTAAAAAGGTAATGAAATAATTTTCTATTAGGGTGAAAAATGGCAGCGTGGTAATGAAGAGGAAATCTGTACATGTATAAAATTATCTACAAATACAAGGGAGGGAAGAACTTCAAAATAAAAAGCCGTTGAGATGTGTATTCCAACTGCTTCTTAACTACAAAGTGTTGGATTTCTGAATAATAATTAAGGACAAAACACACAACAAAATGAGGTTACAAAGTTCAAAAAAATACAGCTTTACCATTATTATCAAAAAGTATTTAAGCGTTTTTATCATGTTCACTTTCAACCCTATTTATCTCTGCGAGGCACCACACGGATATATAATTTATCTGGTAGATACAAAAATCAGTATGCTCAAGAGAGGCAAACCTGAATCAAAGGCAGATTCAAATAATGATGTAAGTTGAGTCGTTGACACTATGAATCAAACAGTAAATACATAAAAAAATCAGAACAAATACATCGTGAGGTATGAAAAACAGAACGCTTATTCCAAAAGTAATGAAATCATTACTAATGCATTTATCACAGCAATAATTTCAACCATCCAGGTTTATAATTGTTGATAGAGAAGGAAAGGGGGGAGATGAACGCTATTAATCAGTTTAGATATTTACCTATTGCACCTGAAGCCGATGCAAAGCAGTGATGTCATTTAGTAAGCTGTATACATTGTCGACCTCAACCAAAGCTTGAAAGAGATTTATAAGGTGGATTCGCTTACAACCATTAGGATCTCCAAACCATGGTGAGACCGACATCGCGTTGAGTTTGTGCAGGGAATGAGATATGGAACTATTCACAATAATGTCAACCTGTTCTAAGTCACAACCCAACAATGAGAGGTCATTTGAAAAGTATTCGCGTATTACCTAAATTTTTATGTGTATTGGTAATATCAAACTATTTATCACAGTATGGAAATATGGATGACGTAAAGATATCTATTTCAAATAGAGATGCAATGAACTCAAGAAAGTTCTGCATATAGACGGAAACGCTGTATATTTATTGATTTTGTCAAATTTGTTTTTCAGGATGACAAAATAAAGGTGATAGTCCTTGGGTTCAATTTATAAACTACGCGGAAACATTTTTTCTATATCTCAAACTAAGCATTTCTTACTCCCTGCACAGGAAACCTGTGGCGACAGAAGGAGCAAAAGTTCCTTGGCATTTAAAGAATATATAATTTTTTGATGATTGTGAATTCACTTGGTGGACTTAGTCAATCCCTCGCAGTTATCTTGCCGCTGGGGCACCACCTGATCAACATTCTTGGTATCATTGGCGATGTTCTCGTTAACGTTATGAAATTTTATTACCCAGACGGGTAATATTATTATATCAGCATTATTACTACTTACAGATGCCTCACGTTGTGTAGCAAGGTGAATAATCAATGAAGCATCACAACACTTTCCTGTGTAATAGAAATACTGCGTGAATTAACATTTACCACCGTCAATTGTGCAATTGTCTTCACCCACACAGAATTGTCATCTATGAACAATGCTTTCACTGAAAGTTATTTTCACAATCATCGGATAAGACATATCTACACCTGGTGAATTTTATCGTTTGACCTTTGCATAAAATTATGGCAGATTGAGGATGTGTACTTTTCCTCCTCCATATTTTCCCAACTACAATACACAGTTTGCACTTATGCAGAAAAAAGATATCATAAGAAATATAAAGCGTGAAGAATGAAATAAGATAAACCATCCATTTCATGTCCTCATCGCGATTAACACAATGAAACTGTAGCTGATTGCTCATACATATGTTACTTGTACAGATGTTTAAATACAGACTGATAAGGAAGTCGATAATCTACATTTACAAAAATGAAGCATTATTCATATATCAAGTGGTACCTCTTATTCAAATCATAACACATTTTCTTTTTATATTTCCATTGTTTACGATTTTCCGACATGTACATCTTTTAACAATCCGCTCTAGAAAAGAATAATTTAATTAATTATGCTTCAATCCAGAACATTATTCGAGGGTATATTTTTTTTTTGTCGGACTTCGTATTGAGTAACAACACAGTGGAGACCATAAAAGTTAAAGCGTACTGACACCTCGATGTCGCACATGCCGCCACCAACTAGATAAAGAATTTCAATACTCTTAAGTATAGCCATGCTGTCCTCCATAGCGGAAGTATCCCTCTCAACACTCTCAGTATTTCTTATCTTGGGCATTGAGGTAATCGTTTTTCGTTCAATAAGGGTGACGTCCACCCGATTTGTGAGCTCTCCATCGTGTGGCAAGCCACCACAGTTGCTCACCACGTGCTGTATCTCTTCCTGCAGCTTATTCACATCGTTTTCGAAGTGAGTCTTTTGAAGGGCTGGCATCATCATCATCATAGCTTCGGTAGGGGGCTTTTCAAATATTCTTTTTACAAACCTCTCAGCGAAGGGATTAAAGTTATCGAGGTTAACATACTTTTCCACATCTAAGCAATCTTCTTCTTTCGGATTTACGTAAAAAGCCGTAACGTAAAACGCATCCAAAAAGGCTGAGTCAATGCCATTGACAGATGACCCCGTCGCACCAGGCTCCTCTCGCGGCTTTCTCTTCGGTCCCTTTGAATGGGTGGGGCGCCACACCCAGGATAGTTTGCACCACACTTGCTTTGTATACTCAAAGTCGATGAAGCCTTCGCAGTTAGTTTGCCTTCCACTACGCGATATACGTATTGCCATATCTGAAAGGCCAACAAGCTTGCCGAATTTGTCGTGCAGACACCGGGCGACAGCTTGCAAAATGCCACGCTCCACTATTCCCTCTTCTAACAGTGTAGGGTGAAGGAGGTTCATGAGCTTTTCATTGTTCAAATTGGCGCCGTCAGTCAAGAGTGAAAAAAACAGGATTAAGGGTGCTATGCGAACGCAATCAGTTTCACACATCCGTCTACGTCGTAAGCGAAAAATACCAAACAACAACCCAAAAAAAAGTGGGATGAAGTAGGCAAGCACGATGCTAATGAAGCTCTTTAAATTCAATAACTCGTTCAAACTATACCATTTATACAAATTTTCTATTGAAATATACTTCATTTTGTGGGTGTTGTAATGGTATAATAGTGTCTTTTTTTAATTGTGGTTGAGTGGAAAATGAGTTGCTCACCCTTTCCCTCTTTACATACACACACACAAAAAAAAAGAAGTGGAGGGTAAAAAAGAAGTTTTCTGCATTTGCAGTTGTTTTTGTTAGCATGTTATACATGGATCATTGCCAAAGGAGATGAAATTAAAGTGATAAAGTCGCACTGAATTCATTAGACTGAGAACGCACCTCTTCGTTCGTAGGGGAGAGATCATATAAAGTATAGGTAAGGTAGGGTCGTAGAACCAGAATGTGTAGGTTGCAAGGGTGAAATAAACAAGATAGTGGTTGAAAATTAAAAATTGTTTCCCTCAAATATAGGATTCAATTAACCTATCGATGTGGTAAGTAGCAGATAACATATTTACACTGTTTATTTTGAAAGAAGTTATACTACTTATAAATAGCATACACAAGGGGTCCTTTGACATTTTGTTAAATATTTTCTAATTTGTGTGTCTATTTGTATGCGTATATACTATGTCACTAAATGAATGTACGACATTTAGTGCATGACAGCGTGCCCATATTTATATTTTAATTATTTAACCACCATTTTTATGAGGATAATTCTTTGTGTTCAACATTCTGAAAGGGTTCTAGTAGTACCACTAGAGCTCGTATCGTCATCTTCTTGATCTTCAGATGATGATGACGAATCCACACCACAACAATGTAAACAGGAGATATAGTAACGGGTCCGGTTCATGATTACCTCCTCTTCTTCCATTCCCGTGTAGGTACGCTGAATATGCATGAGTTGAGAGCCTTTTTCGTCCATTTCCAGGTACCGAGGATCCAAACAGTCAAAGCAAAAGGCACGCGGACAGCTGACACACATGAATATGGCGCCATCCACGGCCTGCGCTTTACCACACACTGAACACATATGCCTGGGGCAGTTCCAGTGTTGGTTGGAAGTTTCCCACGACTTGCGCTTCTTCAGCCCAATACATTCCGCATGGTATGCCTTGGGGCAAGTAACACAGTGATAAAGCGGCTCCAATGGATGCATGATGCCACCGCACACGAAGCAGCAGTGCGTTGTGTTAGATGTTAATTTAGAGGCTACTGTGTTCCGCTTAATATGTTGTTCAAGTCCATCCGTCTCAACACGGACTAAACTTTCCACCATTTTATTATCTTCATCCATTAGAACGCTGGTCATGTTGTAACTTGGCTGTATTGTTGCATCGGATCTATCAAAAGGAATAGATGAGGGTATTACAGCCGAGTCTCCTCGCCTTTCTCGTATTTTGTTCAGTTGCCTAAACATTTGACGAATGTCAGTTGAGTTGAATCCGTGGTTGTTTTTATTGCCGTCACGCCGTGCCCCATCGACGATATAATCGCCCAATGACGCCTTCTGATCAGCAATCTCACGAATACGCTCTTCAATTGTGTTTTTGAGACATAGACGATACACATGAACCACGCGCGTCTGCCCGATGCGGTGTGCGCGATCGGCAGCCTGCCGATCAAGCTGCGGGTTAAAATGCGCATCAAAAAGGATCACCGTGTCGGCTCCAGTCAGAGTCACCCCGACGCCGCCCGCGGTAGTGGTCGCCAAAAAGACGAAACAGGTGGAGGTTGGGGCGTTGTAGCGCAGCATCGAGAGTTCCCGCTCGACACGATTACAGTTGCCGTCCAGCCTCTCGTAGCTATATCCGCGAAGGTGGCATAACCCCTCAAGCAGGTCCAAGGTCGACGTGAAGTTGGAGAAAATGAGGCAGCGGTGGCCGTCCTCTTGGAGCCGCTTGAGTAACCCATCCAAGAACACCATCTTTGCGCTTGGGCGCACAAGGGCAGACTCGCTCATCGGAATGCCAACCGATCGAAGAAGCGCTTCCACACCCTCGGTGTTGCTTTGGCTTCGGTCCTCGTTCGCCAGCAGCCGCAGCGTCATAGGATGATTACATACCGTCCGTTGGTGGCTGAGATGGATCTGTAAACGACCTGCACTTTCATCATTTTCAAGAACGCGCGCTGCGAGCTGGGCTAGCAGCTGCGACTGGACGTAGGTCGGCTCAAGCAGGGTCACTGGCTCGTCCACACGAGGTGGGATATCCAGCTCCAACGATTCCTTCGTGCGACGAAGCATGATGTGGCTTAGCAGCCTTGCGCAGTTATCGGCAGCCTGCACGGCATCATCGTCGTTGCGCGTGATACCGTTGTTATAACCAGTCGTAAAGGATGGGTAAAGAAAACCCATAAGGCTCCATACTTCCTGCACATTATTATGGACGGGGGTTCCCGTCACTGCAATACGGATGCAGGCAGTGAGTTTTCGTGCGGTGGTGGTGATTTGTGTATCGCTCCCCTTTAGCACATGCGCCTCGTCGACGATAACCGTCACCCAGGAACGCTTCCGGAAGAAGCCGCGATCTTGGTTGAGCATCGCTGGTGTCGTGATAACCACGGCGTGTCGATTGTGATGCATCATACGGGCCTGTTCACGGGCACGGCGCTCACCATGGTACTTCATCAGCTTAAGTCCCGGGGCCCACCGCACAAGTTCCCTTGTCCAGCCGGTCAGCATCGACAGCGGTGTTACGATAAGATGCGGACCATCAATACGATGGATTGTCTTCAGGACATGCAGAAACGAAGCAATCTGCGCCGTTTTGCCAAGCCCCATGTCATCTGAAAGGATGCAAGCCATGCCGCGATGAAAATTTTCCAGCAGAAATTGGACACCCGCGAGTTGGTAGTCCCGTAATGTATAGCCGGGTAGCGCCGCTATGTCTGCTACACTTACCGTCGGTGGTTTAGGGAAAACTGGGCACAAATCGGAATCTGATTCAATTTGACGAAGCACTTTATTTGTGAAGAAAGGCTCAAAGCTATCAAAAAGGTTCTCATTCACTCGTAGTTCATACTGAAACTGTCGTTTGAAATACTCAATATATTCCCTTGCGGTGTTATTTGAGCGTGTACTCCATAATAGCGAGCTAATAGGACGCGTGGTGAAAGAGTCACCTCCAGGGCAGCTATGCCTAGAGTTAATGTGTTGACCGCCTGTTGGGTATGTTGTCTGCATCCCTGACATCAGCGCATCCACTAGTTTGACTTCCTGGGCCTTTTTTTTTCCAAGAAGGAGGTCCAATTCATCTTCTTCATCAGAATAAAATGCAACAGCGCACACAGGACGTGCAGATACAATGTTCTTAGTCATTGATTCTGAGTGGGTTTCGGCATTCCGGAGAGCCGACACGTTAGCAAGTTCAATCCTATTTGTTTTAGTAGGCCGCAGAAGCTCTCCATCACTACTTGAGGAAACGATTGGAAGGGGGGCAATGCTCAATGCGGGTGATGTTGTGTTCCCTATGTTGGCACGTTGTGACTGATCTGAGAGGTGGTAATTAGCCTCCGCGGCGTTGGTGGGAAAGTTTTGTGTCCGTAGCGAGGCGGCTGGACTGCAGCAGTTAGGCCCATCGCTGTTTGGGGTACGCGTCACAGAGCAAGCCGTATCCACTGGAATGGTGTTTGTTGTCTGTAGAGGAGTCATGATTATACTTGTGCTTTTATGTGTGACTGTGCCATTACTAGTGTCTCCGCACAGAGATTTCTTCTGCAAAAACTTAGCGAAATAATTATCTAAGCTCATTAGTTGCAAGTTTGTGGATCTATATATTGGAATTCAGAAGTTTAGTAAAATTTTATTCGCTTATATTATTTATAGTGAATAAATTCGTTCTAAAGAAGAAAGCTCTAATAGGAGATGAAGAAGTTTTGGGAAGGGATCAAGATGCTGTTTTATCAGCTACTGAGAAGGGACTAAATTCTTAGTGTTAAAGCAGAATGTCCTACTAAATAAATAAACACGTATAGGTTCATTTGTTTTCCTTCTATTCTGTACTATATTTGGCGCTATAATATATTTTAAATTATAGACCTTTTGAATTTCTTAGACCATTGTCTGAAAAAATATTTGATGTCTCAGAAGCACAGAGACAGAGAAGTAATGAATAAGGCGAAGCCGAAGCCCTGCTTTTCTGCATATCTGATTTTTCTTCTTTACCTATCCCAGAACAATCTCCTTCATGTTATTCAAGGTCAGATGCTTATTGGTATTATTTTATTTCATATCAACATTATTGTTGTTACTGGACCGAGTCTTCCACAATTTCTCCACGCGGCATCACTCGGCATAAAACGACCGTCACATCATCTTTCTTGCCGCCCTGCGCGTTGCTGACGCCGTGCCGGCGCAGCATCTCCGCCCACGGCGAGTTGCCATCTACTTTGAGCGATGCCTTATGTGTATCTAACACAAGGCGCTCCACCACACGGTGTGGATTTGTGTATTCTACTTGTTGACCCTTAAACGCATTACTGAACCAAAATCCAACGAAGGGGATGGAACTCAGGGCCGTATTCTGCGTTTGACCAATCCACCCGGCGTCAGAAGCCAACTCGGCGTTAAAGCGGTTGTCAAAAAGACCATCCGTTCCAAACACCACAACGTCACCCTTCTGCAGGGAGACGGACTCCCGTACACAAGCTGATACGGGATCTGACAAAGAGCGCCCTTGAAATTCTTTTGGGAGCACCGCCAATTGGAAAGGTGCGTTAAAGCGGTGGATTTTTTCATGCATACGGAAGATCGGTTTGCGATCTCGTATCAATAACAGCCCACTGTCGCCGATGTTGGCCACATCCAGATAATGCTTTCCATTATCCTCCTGACGCAGTGTGGCGATGCAGGCGGTGCTGCTACCAGCCTTTACTTCTTTATCGTATATAGTTTTACGGTACGCAGCATCCATAATCACTTCTGGATCAAGCTCTTTTCGGTGGGTTTCGGCAAATAGTTTAGCATTCTTCATGAGCGCATTTGAGAAAAGAGATGAGTCGACACCTTTTTTTCTCCAACCACCTACGCCGTCAGCTATGCCGATAACCTTTTGAGTATTCGTCACGAAAAAGCTATCCTCTCCACAGTCAAGTTCAATAAAATTGGGGCGCTCTCGCCAGGCCATAATTTTTTTTTTTTGACTTTCTCTTCCGCGGTGTGGTACATTTTGGCCGAAGAAGATTTTGCTTTGCAGAAGGCCCAGCTCTGGAAGACTAGTTCATTGGGGTCCTTCTTGTCCTCCGGGATATCTGTTGGTAGATTTCCCCAATTAAAGAATTCCGGAGAAGTCCCAATGGGTTGCGAACTACTGATTGCAATGCTGTTACGAATTCCCATCAGAACGATTGATCAATCAGTAGTTACACTAGAAAAATATATGTAGTATTTATGACGATAAAACGATATGTATGATGTCTTATTGTTTTTATTTCGTACATAAGGAATAGAAATAGAAAAACGAAAAAAAAGAAAGGGGAAAAAATAAAACCAACTTATCTATAACACATTTCCCGGTGTTTTACAAGCATAGGAAATGTACAGTCAAAAATGTTTTTAGTGCACAATCAGTTCTTTTTTTTTCAGCTATACCTGATGAATTCTTTATTCCAAAAGATTAAAGCAAGCCTGTTTTTAATATAAATCAAACAAAAGTTACATAAATACTGATGTATAATTTTTTCATTGACATCCCCCGCAAAAAAAAGATTAGGTATGAATTCTGTTAACAATACGCATGTCAATAATAAGAAAGTATAATATTAATAAACAAAATCCGAAAAAAAATCAAGAAATATTCGAGAACGCTTCATATGCCCTCGACATAATTTAATCTATTTATATAGAATCTGTTATAATGTCAGGTTCCGACACTCCCATTGCCAGCAAAGCCTCCGAGAAATTATTAATGAACTGCAGAGGGCCACAAATATATACAAGAAACCCACGGGCTCTCAAAAATTCACGTTTAACTGCCTCCTCTACGTCACCTGTGTGCATACGCCTGCCATAAGTTATACATGTTTCCCATTCCTTATTGTCGGTAGCAGCCGGTTCGCTCTGCTGGGTCAAAAACGCTTTGAAGGTAAGCCTTTTGTGACCAGCTTCGTTAATTTCCCGATGGCCGCTACAGCCGTGTAAAACAAAGTTATTAAGTTTTGGAATACATTTAGTCCAACGATCTACATGCAGATGTACTATGTGAAGATACTGAATCGTCTGAATTGCGGGATCGGTACTAAGAAAGGAAGAAAATATGGCCGCATAGGCATTGGTGATGCCGATTCCTGCTGTCAACCACAGTACACGTCCTTGTAGAGCACAGATTCGAGGCAAATGATCAATGAGTGTGCAGTTGCCGCCGAAGCTTTGAACTTTTAGCGGTGTATATAAAGAGTAATTATGGAGCCACATGCTAGCGCCACTAGGGTAGTTGGTGTTTGCCTTCACTATGAGTGAAAACAGCGAGTCCTCAGTGTTTACAGTACAAACAGTCCATTTTCGGTACCGCAGGAAAGAAGTGTCGGAGGTTGATGTCGCAGGAATTATGAGCTCAACATATTGCCCTGGCCTAATGATCTGTTCCAAAATACCTGAGTGACGCACAAAAAACAGCTCACACACATTTTCACACACATTTTTTATTTGATTACAGGATATCATAAATTCACCCTTTGGTGAATCTCGCGGTCGTTCAATGCCAAAGCGATTCCACTGTTCTTCTTTTACAAATCCACTACTATCAAAATGACTTTTTGTAGAGCATAAGATCGGGTTAGAGAATTGCTGACCCCGAGTGAAGCCAGAATGAGGATTCCTGCTGTGAAAATCTTGAGATGGTTCGTGGTTATGCGTTGAATTCAAATATTTATTATTAATTTTTCCATGCACAAATGGTGTGGATATCGGTTCCTCTTTGTTTGCTATTTCCATGGTTGCGTAGCGGTCACTTTCTATAGATGGACCACTTAAGTTTATAATCAAATACACTTCGCCTTGATTATCCACCGATACCTTATGGACCCGCTGCTTGCATCCTTTAGAACGGATAGTACTTTTAGGTTTCCCACCGGAAGAGGAAAGCTCAAGACTAACATAAAGACCCTCGCCGGTATCGAGAGCAATTTTGTAGCGATGCCATGGACACTCAATGCAGAGATGCCCCCCAAAGTCCTCAATATCACCATTCAGAAGTGGCCCACCGTGATGGTAACAGGCATTGTCCATGGCATAAAACTTTTTCCGGTAGTAAATTATCATTATGTTTCTTGTGCCATACTTTATTAGTTTCCTAGAGTTCTCAATGAATTCAGCTAGATTTCCAATATAAATCTTTGCCTCCTCCATAACCTTCGTAATGTGCCTAAACAGCTATCCTGATGAAGGATGTCCTCACCTTCTCCCACCCCCCCCCCCGCCGCAGAAAAAAATTCATAAATAAATGTGAACAGAAAGGAAAGATAATGACACTTAATCACATATAAAGATGAAGCATAAATCGTATTCCATCATCGTATTTGCCACAGCTTCGGCACCAACCTTGACTCTGTTAAAGGTAAAAATACACACAGAAGTTAATTTTATGTAGAATTTAGCGACCTGAGTAAGAAGATTGGCTCGAAACAGAAAGATGGCGAAAGTAAACCAGCACATTTCTGTGTGTCAACTTACACAATTACTTGAGTTATCATAGTTGCTGGTTTTCATTTTGCATGTTTTACCTTATCAAGCAGCCTTAAGAGAAAATTTTTGTTTCTCGGCGCTTTCAACCGTGCGCTCACGGAAAAGGCCCTTACGACGCCTTATACGTTCTAATAATTGTGCAGACACATTTTTGGTAGACACTTCCGTGCCGTGTTCTTCTAACTCTTCCTTTGTGGTAGGCACAAAGAAGGGATCTGCTTCAATGTAAGCCCAGTGATCTATGCGTAGCTGCGCCGTAGAGGCGCCTTGCGTGAGCACTCGGAGTTCATCCTGCAAGCCAAAGGCCTCAACTGCAGGCAACCAACAGCTTATGTAAAAAAGGTCACTGCCTTCATTGTGCACCTCTTCGATGATTTCCGACCGGCGGCGACTAAGCGAGGAGTAAATTTTTCCATGTGTGGCACCTGAAGAATACACGGTGCACTCATAGACAGGCTCAACTAAACGGCACTGATGCTGCTCCATGGCGGCACGACAGGCTTCCCGCACACATGGCAAGACCATCCCACCTGAAAGGCTGGCGGTCACGTCAATAGAGAGGTCGGTGATGACGAAAGCCAACCCATACAGGGGCTCCTGGGCCATTGGGCCGCTCTCCGCTGCGGCTTGGAATCCCGCCACAATGGACTCCTTCAACTCGTTCAGAATCTTCTGTGATGCTGCCGCATCTTTTGCATTTTCGAAGTCGGTCAACAACATGACACCTAAAAATCCAAATTTAATAGGACCGTGTGAAATCAGACCGATCTTCATCTCATTGACGTAGCGCTTGTGACTACGGAGGACAGCCTCCACCCGTTTTACGACATCGGTGTTATTACTGTTGTTCTTCTCATCATCACTAATGATATCGAGCACCTCCTGTGGCATACAGCGGGCGTGAAGTGTAATAGAAAATGCATCGTTAGAGACGGTACCTGTGTGGAGCTTCGGCTTCGCATTGAGGTTGCCAATGATGGATTCCCGAAAAGAGACTAACGGCTCGGATGCAGTGACCTCAACTTGGGCAAAGGTATCGACTAAGTCCCTAATGCATCGCTCTGCATGTACAGTGCCAGCAGTCCCAATGACATGTTCTCCAGTCGGCAACACGCTGACCTCGACCTGCGGATCAACTTTGTATAGGAGCCGCATTCCATTTTCGAGATGCTGTAATTTTTTCGGATCCTTCGGGAAAACAGAGAGACGAACAATTGATGTGCTTGGCAGTATAAGCGGTTTGAAAGGTGCCACATAGGGCACTGTGCAGACGGTAGCATATTTTGTAATGAGTGGTGTAAGACCACCGATCCCGCACAATAGACCTGCTCCGACTTCTGCCGCTTCCTCCAGACCTACACCACGGAACATAAAAATCTTTGAAACTTTTGATTCCACCACTTTGTTGTCACTGTGTAGAAACACTTTATCATTGGTGCGCAGCCTACCGCAGTAAACTCGCGCAAAACCAATGAAGGCATCGTCTTCATCTTCCAGTGCCCCAATGACGCGACCCACAAGGTGTCGGGTATCAATGAGCTTACAGATATACGCAACAGAAGGTCCATCCGGCGATGGGTCGCAGTTAAGCAGTGCATCTCTTAAGTCGCTCGGAGCCTTCTCTAAGTTTTTAATGAGTGCAGGAATCTGCTTACGTTGTGCTTTTACGGGACTATCCATTTGCTGGCACACGGTGTCCAACATTCCTCTCGCCAGAGGCATCCAGTAACTCAAGAGGGCCTTGAGCTTGCCATGTGCATCACTGCGTGGGTTGTTCCAAACGTTCTCATCAACATTTAGTTTGCTTGACATCTTCTGCCGCCGGCTCTCATCTTCGCTAAAGAGAAAGGCTGTGTATAGCTGCCAGATAGGCTCGAACATCAACTGCACCGCCAGAGGTTGTTGACCATTTTTTGTAGCTGTTGTACTAACTGTCTTATTCTTGACATCCAAGTAGTGCTCACCCCATAACACCTCTCTCAGGTTCTGGGTTGGTATCTTTCCCTTGTAAAGGTTGAGAAAAGTCTCCACCCCAAAGCACCAACCATCGTGGCCACTACAGAAAAGCACGTTGCCTTTCACAGGATCAAACCAAACATCGTCGCTAGGGTCATCTCGTTCCATATCGTGTTCCAACCCCTGAATTTTCATTTGATTAGCATGTGCAGCTAGTATGGCATTGCAGGTTTCAATAATGGAACGCATGCTCGTGTAGGCTTCCTCTGCAGAACACTGCTGTGCGGTGATAAGCAGGTCTATTTTGTTCAGTACCAGACACATCGATAGCCCCTCGTCATAACTGTGGCGCAGTATGGCCGATGTTTGTTGGGTGACCCCATCAATCACGTCCACGATAATCATCGCGCCATCACACAAACGCATCGCTGTTGACACTTCACAGGAAAAGTCAATATGTCCTGGCGAGTCCACAAGGTTCAGAACGTGGCGCACGCCTTGGTGCATGTGATATAGGGCGATGGAACTGGCCTTCATGGTAATCCGACGCTCTTGTTCATCCGGCCTGGAGTCGAGCAGCCGGACCTCTCCCGCTAGTTGTTGGGACAGGATACCATTACTTGCCACTAGATAGTCACTTAGAGTTGTTTTGCCATGGTCTACATGGGCTAGCATGCAGAAGTTCCGAATATTTTCTGGGTGCTCATTTAACTTTCGGAGGACGTTTGACTCTTTAGATTCCATTCAATTGGCACAAGCGGTTCAAAAGAAAGAGGAGAATATTATTAACGGTATCAAATACAGTTAAAATACTCAACGAAGCGGCTACTGATGAAGTTCGACCTCAATGGCACAGGTGAAGCTTGAGGAGAAATGCTAAAAAAATCAACAATAGAAGGAAGTGGAAATCAAAGCAAAAGCTGTAGCAAATTTCTGCGAGCAACTTCCATGAGCATCGTTATTTTCAGAAAAGACATTCTCTTCAGTGTTTACCTTTTAGGTTTTCTTTTTCACCATCTCACACTACCGAATTGGATTCGAAGAACAAAATTAGACCTAATTGACACTTTTACCTTCTGCATGCAATAAAAAAGAACATCCCTATATAGCATATGATAAAGATCATTCATATCCTTTCCTAAACACAAAAAGATATCGTTTTCATATCCCGTTTAAAATTTTTCCGGTTGATTCCTCGGAAGCAATATCCAAGTGCCATCGGCGCCACGAAGGCCGCTGAAGGACTTTTCCTTCGGCATCAAAAAGTATAAGTAAATAGATAAAAAGAGATATCCCCATCCCTGAATATACTTGCGGCGTGATGTTATTTCCATTAACTCTGTGCTGGACACATCCCATGCTTTCTTGGTGTGGTGCTGGTAATACTTTGCCTCTGGTACCGGAAGCTTATCCACTTTTATATCAATAGGCTGAAAGTAGGTCCACGATAAATAAGAATCGTAGATGGCGGTGTTTGGCTCTTTAAATGGGGAAGAGGAGCGGATACCACGTGGGCCCATGGGGTACACATTCTGCATTTCGTTGCTAGTGGTACAATCCCCACCCGTAAGAAATGTGGTACCGTTGCCTACCCGTATGGCCCGTGTAGCTGCGAATGCAGTGAGAAAAGTTGTACGTAACATTGCTAATATCGGTTATAAAGGCACAATTTGATCTAGTTCTAAAGCCTACTCTTTTACAAGATTGCAAAAGCAGTGCTGGGAGAAAAACAGTTGAACTATTTAAGTTGAGCTTCATGAGGCACATAATAGTAAAATATGAAAGGTATATAAATAATAATAGAGTAGATAAATGTAGAAAAAACTCATGAAGAGGGTTGGTTGACTTTTTTCTCAAATTAGAGTATCAGTTAGTTCCGATTGCCAATTTAATAAGATTAAATTACTTTGAAGCTATTGCTGCTAAACTCAATATTCGCTGCATGAGCTCTACTAGCCACTCTCGAGTTAGATCTTCCTTTGGATTTTCTCTCTCAAAGCAGCCCTCTATTTCGATCTCATAACTTAAATCCTCGCTTGATGTACGAATTTCGGTCAGGTCGTATAAAAACAAACCATCTTTGATGCTTATGCGTTTTTTAAAACGCGTGTATGAGTACATTTTTTTCGTGGGGGAAGTTGCAGGGATACTCACTGGTGATTCTGTATTAATAGAAAACCGAAAATCGTAGTTAATGTCTTCCCGATTAATGGCCACATCCACAAAAAGGATGCGTTGTTTAATGATCACCGATGTAAGCTTCCGGATAGGCCCTGTGTCAGAGTTAATTAAGTCATACGAATATCGCTCATTATTCACTTTGACATCTTCGGTAGTGGTCATAAGAGGTGGGTGATCAGTGTCTGTCTTGGTCGCGATCAAATAATTTTTTATAGCCTCAAAACCTTCTTTGGTGACACCTACCTTAATTTTCCCTGGTTGAGGACCAAATTGTTTTGAAAGTATGGTATAGGGCTGTTGTAGCTCCATAATGGGCACCTGATGCGAACACAGGCGAACCTCAACTTCAAGCTCGTTGTTTCCAATGTGGGGTTCTATTTTTCTATATATGTGATCAGCTAAATGCATCAAGGTGGAACGTTCGTCAACGTCGCCCTCATCGCTTTTCTCTACTTCTAGAGTTTTATCTTTAAATGACATTGCATTTTATAGAAATCTTGAAAGTAAAAGTCCCATTAGAGAAAACAGTATGCTGGATATTATGTATAAAATATACATGTCAATGCACCTTATGGAATTGATAATCAAACCAGTTTTTCTTAACCATTTTAGCTGCTTTGAGTCTTTGGATTCAAACTTAAACCGCACATGGTACTTAGGTCGGGCGTCCACGCTTACGGAGTTTCAATGGGCATTCCCCTCGCGTATGTCCCGATTCATTACAATAATTACAGTACACGTAGCTATTGGCGTGTGCGTGGCGGGCGGGAGCAGCGACCGATCCCGTTTTGAACCTTTCTTCATGGCGTTTTTCGTTAATCTCCTCGACGCGTCGTGCCTCACTCGCCGCGCGCTCCTCCGTGCGCTGCTGCTGCTTGGCCACATAGGCCTGGACCACTCCCATCAGTTCTTTTCCCGCAGAATGGTCAGGGTCCAGATGGAGACACTTCTTCAGGGCCTCGTAGGCATCGTAATACTTTTTCATTTCCTTTCGCGTAAACGCCAGGCGGAAAAAGCCTCGCGCGTAGGTTGGGTCGACCTCGGTGGCATGAACCGCATCGTCCTCACTCTCTTCCATCCGTTGGGCATGCGCAAAGGCGGCACTACGATTAGAAAGCAAGATCGCCTTCTCCCTAGGAGAGCTCAGAAGAGGCAAGCGATCGAGGGCTTTTCCAAAGTGCCGAATAGCTTCGACATAGTTTGCTGCTTGCATTGCTTCCTTTCCCCTTTCAAGACTCTTCGCGTAGTAGTATTGACTTTTGGTCTCTTCGCTAGAGAGACCACAGGTGGACTGCATCAGCGTCCGAACCCTGGAAATCGATTCGACGTAAGTCCCTTTGGATGAATCCAATTCATTGGCTTTTTCAAAGTATTTGATAGCCTCTTTGTAGTATTTCATTCCTTCATAGGCAGTCGCTACTCTTCCTAGTATTTTTGCATTGAAACATTGGAGTTTCATAGCCTCAACGGAGCTTTCCAGGGCTTTTTCGAAGTCCTTTATGCTTGCATAACAGGCACTAATATTACTCAGGGCGCGAGCCTTGGTTTCAGGGGTAATATCTACACAAGAGGCTATACGTTCATAATGTTGTACGGCTCCATGATAATTTTTTGCGTTAAAAAGCAACGCAGCCTCACTAAATTCTTCATCAGACATTAATACGCGTCTTGACTTGTATGTTTCTATATCAATATAGAATAGGAGAAAGTCATTTAGTCCAAATAATACAAAGAAGGAAATGTGTCAGATAAAGCTTTATCCTAAAGTTTTAAAAAGTTAACTCGGAATTGACGGCCCAAAGGTTCTCAACTTTTTTATTGAAGCGATAATATATACAGAACAGAATGTAGGATTGTGATGCAAAAAAAGAAAGACTAATACACAGCGCGGTGAAGATGCGCAGTAGAAGTGACCGGCAGAACAAAGAGGGCCTTTTCAACATACTACTCTTTACCCAACCCATCTTTACATTTCCCTCACACTCATCTGAAATGTTGAAAATGATCTCGATAAGCTGCACTATGCCTAAGATGGAACGAGAAACAAGGTTTCCCTTCCAATTGTTCTCTTTCTTTTGACCTGGATAATGCATATATAACCTATTGAGATAACGTACGATGTGATTATGAAATTATTTCTTTTAACGGCTCTTACCCCCTCCTTCTCCCCTTTTTCACACGGACTGAATAAACAGATTAAATCTAGGAATATGCTTCTTTTATATCCTTTATGAAGCCCTAGAAGAGGGAAGAGATATACTATAAATATCTCCGAATGTATAGACATTAATTTATAAACCCTCGTTGATGTGCTATACTCAAATCATGCTGCTTGATCATCAGTAAATTCACCATTTCTTTGTTCATCACCACCTCTTTTTCAGTAGCTTGACGCTGTTCCTCATCAGTAAAATTCATTTCAGCGAACTTGATAGCTTTTTTGTATGCCTCTATGGTTTTCCCAATACAATCAAATTCTTCCTTGGCGTTTGCGAAGGCGTAGTTTAACCCCATTCGCGCTAATCGCATAAGTGCACGAAAGAACGGAAGACATGAGTCACTATCCAAAACATCAGGAATAAGCAATGTTTGAGGGTTTTTCCACGTATCGCAGAAGCGGATGTAGTATCCCTTGCACTTATCAACCAGCTCATTATATGCAGTATCTGTTAGAGAAGTTTCGCCCTTCTTTGCTTTGTTTCGTTGCTTTTTGCGTAAAAATAGGAGATCTTCATAAAAAGAGCCTAAGTCATATAGCAACTGACGTACAACTATGGGATACGCATTAAAGTTAAGCTGATCTGGGATATTATCTAGTAGATCAATTTGACACTGAACTATGGCGAGTTTTCTACTGCGGGTTGTCTCAAAAAGTGCTAAATAGCCGTACAGCTTGGCTTTATCCTGGAGGATTTCAATGTTCTGCGTGCAGGATGACTCAAAAGGATGAAATTTAAGGGCATCATCTAAAGCTTTTTCCCCCTCCTTGAAGGCTTCACGGGCGTCTTTAAGAGTCAAAATGGCTGGTTGTTCTTCGAGTGGACTTAGCCCATCGATGGGAAAGTCTTTCCAGTAAGACGCAAAGTCTACTGTAGAGGGCGCGCTGTGCGAGGGCTCACGTATAAGAGATCCGTAATGCTGCAGGCGATTCATATGGTAGCGACCAAAGCCCCAGGCCACCAAGCCACTAGTCGACTCATCGGCAACTTCCGTTGACATCATAATTTGTCCAGCCTTCAGACAGTAAAGCGCCTGACCATACGCAAGGTGGCTTCCGTAAAAGAAGCTTAGGTGCAGTGCATTCGTAGCCCATAGCTTTCTAGAAAATTCCTTTTTACACATGAGCTGGTAATACATAGTGAGGTGGCAATACTTAGACGCAAGTTTAGTGTCTTGCAGCACAGCATACATTTGGGCCAGATAGAATAAAGTGGAGGTGTAGGCCAGATCCATCTCATAACGCTGGGTAGCCACTTTCAAGTACTCGACATCACCTGTTTCCAAAATGCGGTCCACCTCCAGACGGCCTTCGTCGCCGATCGGGATGGCGTCGATCGTGCAGGCACCTGGCTGCTGGGTCATGTACCATTTATCCCAGTTTAAATACCCGCTTTCGGCTCGAAGAAGAATCTTCACGGCGTCCTCGGGGTGCGCACTAGAGAAGTAAATAGCTAGTGCGTTGTGCACCTGTACGAACTCGACACATTGGGCATAGTGGTGCTCGTGTAAACAATCATGACTCGTGGAAAGCAGAACCTCCTCTAAGGCCACGGGGTCCACATTGATATCGTTCACCAACTCTTCCTTTATGCAATGCTGTAAAAGACGGTATGCTTTTCTCAATTCCACAACCCCCTCCTCTGATTCATCCACTTCCATCATAATAGAGCCCATCAGCACTAAGCAACGACACAGTTGCTGCAATGCAATAAGACTTTTGTGGTTTTTATAAAGGTTAGCCACAGTTTCTTTGAGCTTTTCCAATTGTTCTCTGGCCTTAAATTTAGGTTCAAAAATGTTTGAGCTTGGACCCTCCGTGTCATTCAGAGTAACAATGTCATTGAATATTTCCTTGAAAACCTCTGAATTCATTCTGTGTCGGTTTACTTGGATGAAAAAAATTATTAGAGATCTTATTTGGGTTAGCTCAAAGTCCAAACCTGAATAAGGAAATGAGTCTGCCAGAGTTGTCTTACCTTAAAGGAGGGAAAAAGTTACTTGATTTTTCCACACAACGTGGCAACTTTATTCAAGTCATATTTTTATTATTCTCAATGTATTGTCCGTACACCATAGTTATATATTAGGTATGTTAAATATGTTCACTTCATAGGTGCTAGAAAAGAAAGTCTTTTTAATGAAAGAATTTTATTACTTAAATAGTTGTCAGGCGCATGTTCCAGTGATTACATCAATTTTCAATGTCGATGGATTTTACTACGAGATTACATTGTTTATCACTTTCACACTTTTATTCGTAACTTTGTTGACCTTGAGGGCATTTTCAGGCTTGAGGCTAACGCATTCTGCGATATTATTTACCATGCTGTATAGTTTGCCGTTTTAAGAAAAGCCTTGATGCTATATATCGTACAAGGGCTTTATTCACGCCTTGTGACCTCGCTTCAGTTCTTCTCGGGTAAGACTCACCTGAGTAATTTTATTGTTAACTATTTGAAGGTCGAGAAGATCCTTGACGAGGGCCTTGTAGACATTTTGAACCATTTCCGGAAAGTTATCGTTCCCAGAAAAGGTAATAATGCGATTTGCAATAAGTTCTCCTAGTTCCTCTGCATCTTGTTTAGTTTTCACAGGGTGGTCTGCGATGTATTTCATATCCTGGTCACCGATAAGTTCAACTGCAGAATTCATATCGGATGCCTCCATTTGCATGCGCTCAATTTCCCGCTGAATATTAATAGGAAGATCTATTTCTTTATCTTCTTTAACTACAGTTGGGGCACGTATAATTTGCTTCTTCTCCGTTAGTATGGCCTTTGTAGCCTTTTCCAACTTTGTGCGCTTCTCTTCTGCCTCTGCCTCTTCTTCCCAATCATCAGCAACATCATCGTATATCTCAGAGCGTACATCTTCGTCAGAGTCGGTTTCGTATTTCATTGTTACTAAGGAGAAAAATTGAATTACCTATAAATGTATTGTCCTCTTAAATGTAGCAGTTAATATCACCAACTCCTTGGCACTGAAATTAATCTTTTTTTTAGAGCAAGTAACAAAGGGAAAATAATGTACACGCTTTGTTCATACAGCTGGTATCATTTATGTTTAAAATATAATGTGCGAAATAAAAGCTACCTTCAAGTTTTTTTCAGACAATATTTTTTTTAATTATAAAACATAACCTCAATATTAGCACATACTTAAACTGGCACCGCTAAAAAGCAATCATCTTGAAAATTATTCAACCAAGAGGCTCAAGAGCAAGGTCACCTTTAATTTTCACAAAGAGCGTTAGACTCAAGCTAGATATTTGCATGTCACAAAGCATTGAGGTGCGGACAGCACATATAATTCCAAATCGATGTCATGTATATCACTACGTATTACAGTACCTTTACCGCTCATCTTGCCCCAAATGATTTTTTTTCTTAGTGTTAGTAAATCCTACTAAATTATCTTTTACTAATGTAACTCTCCTTTTAGCATCCAAACTCTTTATTTATATTACCTATGTCATTTCCATAAGACATCAACTTTACTCTTACCACATACTTGCATACATACATATATACATATATATATATAGTAGCATGACTGTCAAAAATAATAGCTAGTGGTAAATTTTTTTGTTCTAAAAGGAGGTCTAATTTTTATTAGCTCATTGTTATATATTCAAAGCTATATGCACAAAAGCAAATAGTGGGATAATTATATTGAAATAAATGGTATTGGAGATAATAATTAATATGCCTTAACAGTGAAATATATTTACACTTAGGTTCTTAATTATCGCTTTAATCAACCAACAACTTGGTAATATTACCACCTCCATTTCCTTCTATATACAAAATTAATATCAATTAGAAGACTTATTATTCAGAACGTCGAAAATGTGCCTGCCGAGCAGGGTGGGTGAGTGAGAAATGGTGACACCGGCAGCCTTGAGGGCCTCCATCTTCCCATTAGCAGTACCCATCCCGCCGGAGACGACCGCACCCGCGTGGCCCATACGCCGCCCTGGGGGTGCAGTGGCCCCAGCGATGAAGGACACCACCGGCTTCTTGACCGGGCTGTTTTTGATGAACTCGGCGGCCTCCTCCTCAGCTGTCCCACCGATCTCGCCGATGAGGATCACACCCTCGGTCTCCGGGTCGTTGAAGAAGAAGCGCAGGCAGTCGATCATGTTGGTCCCGTTGAAGGGGTCGCCGCCGATGCCAACGCAAAGGGACTGTCCCAGCCCGACCTCCGTCGTCTGCGCGACCGCCTCGTAGGTCAGTGTACCGCTGCGCGAGACGACGCCGATGCGCCCCTTCTTGTGGATGTGCCCCGGCATGATGCCGATCTTGCACTCCTCCGGCTTGATGATGCCCGGGCAGTTGGGCCCGATCAGGCGCGTCTTGTTCTGCGAGAGTAGCATCGACTTGATGCGCAGCATGTCCCACTGCGGGATGCCCTCGGTGATCACAACAACCAGAGGAACTTCCGCGTCCAGCGCCTCTTCGACGGCCGCTGCACAGAAGGATGAGGGGACATAGATAACAGATGCCGTTGCACCCGTCTCCTTAATGGCTTCCCGAACATCCGTAAAGATTGGCAACCCAAGGTGAATCGACCCCGCCTTCTTGGGGTTCACCCCACCCACCATCTTCGTTCCATAGGCGATGGATTGCTTAGTGTGAAAGGTTCCCGCGGAACCAGTCATACCCTGACAGATTACCCTGGTATTACTGTTGACCCATCGGCGAATGAAATTGCGTGAGAACATATTCGGAAAGTTCTGGAAATTTAAAATAAAATAATTTTAAGGAAACACTCTTAATATAAAAAGGTATCGAAACTGATTTTAGGAGGCATGAAAAAGAGGGAAAGAAATAGACCCATATTAGAAAAGGATAAGATAAAGAAAAAATGTCACAACACAACTTGTCATAAAAATTCAATATAGAAGAAAAGAGTTTGTCAATGGTACTGCAACAGCAAATGAAGATATATATATATATATTACTGAGTTTACTCATGAAAAGAGTTATTGAATGCTAGCTGGTGTTGGAAGTTCTATTGGTAATTCAATTTTTTCCTTAACAGCAAGAACCTGAGGTATTGGAGGCTGGATCTCACCCTCCGTCATCTTTACGCGATGAACCAGCGAGTTTATTTTCCTTAAGCGCTCATCATTTCGTTTTATTGTAGAATAACAGTTTTCAAGAATTTTTTCACAAGAATAAATAGATCTCAATTTTTTGTTGACTTTAGCATGTTTTTGTATTTTGGCTACCTCAATATTTGCTCTATTCATAAAGTGAAGTGCATTAGAAGGAGATGAAGTGAAGGCCCAAGAAGCTGCATAGTTGTACATGAGCGATAAAAATACATCTGACTTTAGTTGACATAGAGCAGACATATTGCTAAAATTTTTAGAACAACTTTTAACACTGTTTGATATCTCGTTGCACTCTTTATAGAAAAGAAACAGTTGATGACATAATTTTGTAGTTAAATCAGAGGTTTGCTTAGGGCCCACATTATTAGAGCGCGTTGTTCCGATTTCTTGCGCTTGTGCAAGGGATAGAGTTTCAAGAAAGGAAAATAATGCAATAACATCATCGGGTTTGAATGGCATCTCAGCAACTCCAATAGGTTGAAATTTTATATTGTCTACAACATTTTTAACAAGAGAAAAATAACCTGCGGCCTTGAGCAACACGTGGTACGAATTCTTCTCAAGACTGGATATGTTTCCAACTTTGGATTTTACACAAAGAAAATGATGAGCTACATTCACAAAGTGTGCAGCGATGTTGTAATAAATTGCTATAAGTTCATATCTGTAATCATCGTAAGGAATACATTGATTTTCACCTAGAGGTGACGACCATGTGTAATATTTTTTGACAGCAAATGAAGGAAACAATTTCACGATGTTTACTAAGTTAGCAACATATGAATCGGCATATTCGACCATCTTTAATGTGAAAGTGGATTCAAAGATGAGGCTGTCTTCAGTTTTTTTATTCATATTGTTGAAAATCTGCAAGCACTCATTCCGCTTCTTTTCAAGCATATTTATTTTGCTAGACGATATATCTACTCCTATTTGACAATTTTGTGTAACCTTTTTCGCCTCCATTAGGGGAAGTGTGACAAAAATATATGTCATTGAAATTATAATTTCTGCGAGAAATCCCTGTTCATATGTAAATCTAAATAAAAGAAATCTTTTTAAAGAATTTCCTATATAATCACAATATGCAAATATTCAAGAAATAAACCTGATAAAGAGGAAATAGTATTTTTTTTTCCCAACTCAGAATTAAAAAAAAAAATCATTTACTAAATACTTCTTAAACTATTTATAAAAATTTTAGTCATCAAGCACTGCACAGCATTCATCTAATAACATGCAAAGCTCCTGATTTGGCGTAACTCGTCGAGTCACTTCCTTTTTTCCAGGATCAGATACTGAAGAAGAATTGCAGATGATAGTTGTATTTATTTGATCATCCACATCTAAGATACTTTTTTTTAAGAGATATTTTATCCAGAGCTGTTCGATTTTTACAGCTCTTTGCAAACTGATGACTAAATACTCATTTAATTCTTCTATTTGCAGCATTTTTCTGGATTTTTCTTCATCTGCTTCTAAAAGAAGGTTTGACTTTTCAAATTCCGCCCTCTGTGATTGAATTTTTCTTGTGTTTTTAAGAGTTCCAATATTTGACGATAAATTACTTAATTGAAGTAATTTATCATCGAGTTTGGTTTGTACTTGTCCTAAAATGAGTTCAATTTGGCAATTTATTATTTTTATTTTATCATCCAAAATGCAAGCCATTTCCGAAATATCCGCATTACTATTGATTGTTTGCGTCGAAGTAGTATTCATTTCTACAAAAAACTGGCATCCTCGGTTTATTTTGTTGATATTTGTTTGAGTAGTAGCGTTCAAAGTGCTTTTTTCTAAAGTTTGCGTTTGAGAACTAATTTTCACAGGATTAGATAATCCTATATGGATGGGTTCCTCAAAAAAGTGAGATGATTCCCATTTTACAGAGTACAAAATTTCATCCAGTGTACTTATTGTTGAAAGTGTGCGCAAATGTTCCTCCATTAAAACTTTCTATATGTACCAAAATTATAAAGATAATAATAATAAAGATTGAAATGAAAAAAAGCAATAGAAAGGTAATAAATTTTAACAGCACTTGATAAATCTTTGCTAATTTACATTTGGAAAATGATTATTGAAAAGAAAAAAATGGTAAATATAAACCAGTAACTTAAAAAGTAAAATTTCGATATCAAAATAAAAAAAAATTTACCCTTTGCTTCACTAAGAGGATCGTTGCCTCATTCCGCTGTAATTATTTTTTCCAAAATACCCAGCCGGTTTCCCTTCATATCGTGGAGAAAGATTAGATTTCGGTTCCATACCCATTTCTTTATATGGACTCTTCTTTAAATCATTGTCTGTGATCTCATCGACATTCCAATCTTTTGGACGTGCAGATTCCATATGCGAAAGATGATCAAGTTCTTCGATAGCATCGATCTGAGTGTTTGAAGATATCTCATAAAAGCCCAGAGATCTGCTCTCGTCGAGCTCTTTCCCATCAATCGATAGATAAAATTTATTCATACAAAGGTAAGGAGACTGATTCTCAACTATCACGTTATTTATAACTTCTTTAATTGTCGCATCTTTGGAAACCATTACTTGAACAACTTGCAACCTCGTTTCCCATCCACTAGTTACCCACACATTTGTCTTGAATCGGATACGTAAGGGTATCAGAAATTGCACTTGAGGATCATCAACCACAGCACGCCAATAATGTCGTTCGTTCTCTTTCAGAATAGTTTCAACAGCTCCAATATAAAAACGAGTGTCGCCAGGTGTGGCAGCACGAATTGAGCCGGGATATGATTCTGACTTTACGAACCGCTGGTGAGACTCGAAGGCTTCTTGCTCATATTGAGATAGTTTACTTCCTTTTAGAAACAAAGGTGATGTAACTCTGAAAAGCAGTCGCGTCCCAGATTTCATAAATGCTACTAAATAAACCTTATAAAAAAACTGTGAGATAAAATGACTAATATACGAAATAATCTATTCACCCTTACCATTCCTTTTTTTAAAAACATATGCACAAATACACGTAAAGATAACAATATTGTTGACAAAAAAATTAATGCCTTCGATATTATTTCCACTGTTCAATTTGATCTGATTGGATGAGTTGTTAGGTTTCCTAACACCTTCAAGGGGGGGGAGGGGGCTCTTTTGAGGCAATAGTTATTTATTCGCCCGCGATAGAGTTGGGAAAAAAAAGGTGGGGGGTCTGGTGTTTGCTCATTTCAGCTTCACCCTGTTTCATATAAATATATTACCGCCGGTTTGGGGTTTATGTTATTATTAACATTGTATGCATGTCAATGTGAGTGTCGCTTTTTTTTTTGCGCGTATTTAGGTGTTTAGTTGGTTTCTGTATTTTATTATCCTTCCAAAGTAAGGTTCCCACTTTGTATTTACGTTTATAAGTATATAAACTTATTTTGATCCATTTTGTTTGTTTTTAATTTTGTAGAAATTTTGGCTGCTTTCGTCACATTAGAATTTTGCTCTTTACACCAATGAATGATATAGACGACGTAACTCAAAATAGTTCAATTAACATCCAACTTTCCGTTGAAAATGAGGTTTTTATCAAGGTACCTCAAAGTGAACCACGCTGCTCTGCAAAAGTAGTAGTTCAATCTGCTAGTGGAAGCGAAGCTCGTGTGGAGTGCCTAGGAGCACCTCTATTTGTGGACGTTTCTTATTACTTAATTCCTGGTGAACAGGTAGCACTATTTTCTTGGACTAATGCGGTTATTTTAATTGAAGGCTCTGATTTATTACTAAGGAATGTGTTTCGAACTTCAATACGATCTTTAAACAGAGCCATAATAGAATACCATTCTTTTCTCCATGAAGTGCGAGCCGAATCGGAAAAAAGCCTCATTGAGGGCCCTATTACACTACTCTGTGGTAGAGATGATTCAATAAAACTGAGTACAGCGAAAACATTATGTAACTATGCGACAAGGACAGGTTGGAAGCCATTACTTGTTGACTTAGATTGCAGACGATCACCAATATTAGGGATTCCTGGTTCAGTTAGTGCTTCAGTTGTTGAATTTCCTATAACATTGGACGAAGTATTTTCACATACTCATGTTTCCATTACATTTTTTGTCGGGACAACTGAGCCGCAACATCAAGCCGAGGATAAAATGCTGTCTCCATCATATGTTCATTATTCGCGCTTTCTTTTGAGTTGCTGTAATGATCGCCTCACGAAACATCAATCCAATATTTTTGGATGGAGTGGAATGATTGTTATAGTACCCGAGCTGATGGACAACGCTGCTGTTAATTTTATTACAGATATTGTTGAGGCCCATAATGTCAGCCACATATTGACATTTGGTGATGATTATCTTTTTCACAAACTTCACATACAGTACTTAACAAGAGTGGGATTGCATGGAAGAAGCAAAGTACAAGTTGATCGCATTTCTAAGGGGCATTCTCACATCCCTCTTCCACCGCTAGAGCAAATGCTACCAGGTATTTTTCATAGCTATTTTCATGGTTCCGGTCCAATTATTTTTCAACCATCTCAATGGTTGAAGTCCTTTGAAACCATCGAAATTCTTCGCTTCAAGGAGAGTACTGATCAGGTTCAGTTAATTACTGTTGAAAAAGATGAACTTCAGGGGATTGTTGGTTGCATTGGCGCATTATTTCATTTTGACAAGATTGGTACTCCTCTTAATTCCGTTCCATTTGCCTATGTGAGGGTACATTCGATTGAACCTACTGGAGTGTTTCTTTTAACTACTACCCCATTTACTTTCCCGTCGGACCGCTTAACCCTCGTGATAGGAACCGTACGTTGGATCACAAGTACCTAACAAAAGCAATATATTTGAGAGTAAGTACATATGCACATTTTATAACTTAGAAATGTTTGATGAAGATTATTCTGAAAAAAAAAAAGGAAAGCTCCTAATTATTCTATAAAATTTTCACCTTTACAATTTTTTCGCCACTTTTTCTCATATACGTTTAAGCGAGCCACACCTACGACTATTCAAAGAAAAAGTGAAAGGTGAAATGTTTTCTCAACAAAATTCAAACAAACTTAGTATTTTTAGTGAACAAGTTCTAAAAGATTTAAACAGTTTGCTAGATAATGTTACCCCCCCAGATAGCAAGGTGATTGTGTTTCTCGAGAAAAATATATACTTGGCGTTGGATCGAATAAATATTTTGGCTAATGCAGCAATAGGGCGGAAGAATTTGGTAGGCTTTTTTCGATTCCAGGAAAATGTCGATTGTCTCTTTGCACATCACGTTATTTATTTCCTTAACCCTGATGTTGAAAAGTTGCGTACGTTTGTCGTTCACCTTTTGTCATATACCCATCATTTTCCTAAAGCAGTTCCACAGGTTTATTTTGTCCCACAAAAACCTTTAATGATTGAAAAAATTATTGAAAGTGATTTCAAGCTAAACGAAACGTTTTCTGAATTGAAGATAGGTGAATTTGATTTCGACATGATATCACTAGCGGAGGACTTATTTTCAATGGAGCAGCCTCTTATATTTAAGCATTTATTTCTAGATGGGGACACAACCAGCCTGAAGTGGATCGCTCGACTCCTCCTTAAATTACAAAGCTCCCAGTTCGGTGCGATTCCTATGATTCGAGGTAAGGGCCGGAACGCTGCCCGAGTTGTGAATATACTTAAACGCCTACAAGATGAAGTTGGTCGAGACTTTTTAAGCAACACTCCCTCTGAGGTTGAAGCATTATATATTGTTGATCGTACTCTTGATTTAGTTTCCCCATTGATGACACAGTTAACGTACGAGGGGTTGATTGACGAGTTTTATGGTATTTCCTGCAGTGAAGTGACGTTTCCTTTTAGTTTGAATGAAAGCGCACCTATTGGTGGCACTTCTAGTCAGACAGAGGTGTTGGATTCTTTTGACAAAGTATTTTCCGAGATTCGTGATAAAAACTTCATTAAAGTTGGCTCTATTTTGTACCAAAAATCCGTTTGGGTAAAAAATCATTATGAAAGACGGAAAGAGGTGCGTCAACTCAAAGACTTAAAAGAATTTATGAAAGGCTTGCCAGAAATGCAGGATTATCATCGAATGATTAGTCAGCATACCGTTATAACATCTGAAATAGGAAAAATAACACAAGGATTGGAGTTCCGAAAGAAAATACAGATTGAACAATGCATTGTTCAACAAATGAATGATAAGGAAGTTTTTGAGTTCATTGAGGACATGGTTTACAGAAAGGATCCATTTTCTCATATACTGCGTTTGCTTTCTTTGTATTCTATTGTAAATGGAGGATTGAAAAGCAAGGAGTATGATTTTTTCAAAGAATCTTTGATGCTTTCGTATGGTATCCCACAGGTCATGAACGCTTTTATCATCATGGAATCATGTGGCTTTCTGACAAAATACGAGGGGAAGACTAGTTATCCACTGCTTAGAAAACAGTTTCGAACGTGGAACGCTTCGCTAAAGGAACAGCAGCCGGATGATATCGCATATGCTTACAGTGGGTATGCTTCCTTACTTGTACGATTACTCGAAAAACTTCTATTATCTAACCATTCTGAGAGCGCTATTGATAATATTATGAACTTGCTCCCAGGTGAAAAATCCGAAATTAGGAATACAGTGGAAGTAGTAGGGGATTCAAGAGCAATCATGTTTTTTGTTATCGGAGGTCTTACTTCTGCCGAGTTAAGCTCTCTGCGGTTTATTCAAACTCAGATGGCAAATGCTGGGAAGTATAGGCGCATTATTGTTGCCGTGACGGATGTTTGCAGTGGTAAGCGTCTGTTATCATCTATTATCCCCTTTGATTTGGATGTTTAATCATACATATAAAATATTATACTTATTTCATGAGCAATGTTTTTTTTAATGTTTTATTCTTTTTAATATATATATTTTTCGTATCGGCTTTTTTTCCTATAAAATACAATAGGCCCTTAGTATCAGTTAATACTGTTTTAGCTGTAGTCGAATTATCATGACGGAGACCCGAAAACGTTGTTACTACGAAGTTTTAGAAGTTGATAAAAAGGCATCAGCTGAAGAAATACGTAGTGCTTACAAAAAAAAGTCGTTGCAGTATCATCCAGACAGGAATTTTGGGGATCAGGAAGAGGCTGCAGCTAGGTTCAAGGAGGTTCTAAACGCTTACTCGATTATTAGTGATCCTAACGAGCGTGCCTGGTATGATTCTCATCGTGATGCTATTCTTCAAGGGGGCGACAATTCCAACCCTGATGAGTTGAATCTCTACGACTACTTCACCAATAGTTGTTTTGATGGCTTTGATGATAGTGATAATGGGTTCTACACTATCTACCGTAATGTCTTTAATACCCTTATTAAGGAGGAAAGTGACTATAATAACCAAGCAAAATCATGGCCCAGATTTGGGACCAGCAAAAGTGATTGGAATGAGATTCAGTGTTTTTACTCTCACTGGAAGAACTTTAGTACATTCAAAGATTTTGCATGGAAAGATGAGTACAAAACCAATGAAATGAAAGATCGATACTCTCGACGAATGGCAGATAGAATCAACCAAAAGGGACGTTCTTCTGCCAGAAAAGAGTATATGCAAACTGTCCAAAGCTTGGTTAATTTTATCAATCGACGAGACCCACGGGTGAAGTTTTGGCTTGAAAAGCAGCAGGAGGAGGAACTACAGAGACAGGAAGAGTTATCAAAAAGGGAAAGGAGTCGCCAGATACGAAGAAACGAAGCTATCAAAAAAATATGGGCCGAAGCTGCAGAGAAGGAGGCGCTCGAGGATGCAGAGCGTGAAGCCAATGGTGAGACCATGGATGGTTCTAGATTAGAGCTTTTATATGAAAAAGCACGCCAAACAAAGGAAATCTTAGAAGGCAAGGCTGATCCTGGTTCGATGGCAGGCTTTGCAATGCTAGAGGGCGATGACATTAGCCCTCGGCATGTCTATAATTGTCCTGCGTGTAAAAAGCAGTTTAAGGATGGAAAACAATATAAGGAACATATTAATAGTAATAAGCATAGGACTAAAGTGAAGCAGCTTGCCTCCAAGGGTATAGACGTGACTGAGTTGATGGGTGAAAAAAAAACACCAGAAACAGACCAGGATCGGTAATTTTTTTTCAAAAAATAAGTTATAAATTAAAGCTAATATTGCTTATCCTAAATAAATTAAGACTTGTAATGCTGCTTCTATTTTTTTTTGTTTTTCTGAAAAAATATGCGACTTCATCTTATTTGTTTATTTTTATATATTTATTATTGTAGCCACATACTCAATTTCTTTCTTTTTAAAAAAAAAATATATCGAAGATAGTACAAAAATCAGAAAAAAAATACATTTATACATAAGACGTCAAAATTACAATGACCAGCTATGAGGTACAACCGATTGTGAAAGGGACAAGAAAGGATTCATCTCTTCGCAAGTACAACAAGGAAGCAGGAAAAGGCCCATTTGGCCCGTTTCCGCCCGGGTACCATCTTAAGAAACCCCCCACAAACTTACCCGATGAGTCGTGTGCTGCACAGCCGCCTTCTAAATCATCAGCGGTGAAATTCGTTTACCAGGGAGTGAAACGTGGCTTTGGTGGTGCATGTACTTCTCTTCGTAAGGGGAGGCCGCACAACACCTCAGATGAGGCCTTTTCCGTCAACGGGTCTGGCAAAAGTAAGCCTCCGAAGGCGGGCGCGTTCAGGCGGCGTCGCATCCCACACACGGAATTTCGTCGTTATTACGATCGTGGAGACCTCCCGGTGTCCATTGCGCATGGAAGCCGTCCTGCGGTGGATTGGAAGGTGGAGGTGGAGAGATTGGATTACCATCACTATTTGCCTATTTTTTTTGACGGCATTCGCGAAACTGAAGAGCCCTACATGTTTCTTGCACGCCAAGGTTGTATGGACCTCCTCGAACGCGGTGGGCCTAAAATTCTTCCTACTATTCCACAGTTGATTATTCCCATAAAGACTGCCCTGAATACTCGACACCCCGACATTATTTCAGCTACATTGCGTATTATCCAGCAGCTTGTGGTTAGTGGTGATCTTATTGGTGAGGCTCTTGTGCCATACTATCGCCAGATTCTACCAATGTTTAACTTGTTTAAGAACTTTCACAAAACACGTGTCAATGGTGACGTCATTGATTTTGGACAGAGGAAGCGGGATGACATTGGTGATCTTATTAATGAAACACTTCAGATGCTTGAGATACACGGAGGTGAGGATGCATACATTAATATTAAGTATATGGTGCCAACCTATGAAAGTTCCATTTTCAATAATTAGAAATATCAATGATTCTGGTTCTTTCCTCTTGATTGTATATGGTTCGCACAGCAACTCATTATTTATGTACTCCAAAAAGTTGCGATGTAACTATGTAATTTTAGAAATTGAAGCTATCACTTGTCCTTAGAAAAAGGTATGAAAAAAATACGCATAAGTGTATGTTGGCCATACATTAATGCAGTTACCATTTTTTCTTATGTTTGATTAATTTTTTTCTTTATATTCGCATTTTCTTTTGCTTTCAATTAGAGGTCCCAATGCCTAACTTTTCCTTTTAATAATTTACCCCTTTGCTCGTAATATTATTTCATGTTACCTCTGAAGTGCTAGTAAGATTTTCGATGAGGGCTATTGTCACTACGAAGGAACCAAGTAAAACGAGAATAAAGTTACAGCAGAGGAGGCTTGGAAGATCTCAGTAAAGATTAAATGCGTGAATATTAGAGACGTGATGAACACTGACACACAGGTGTGTGTAAGACTTATGTAGGAGGTTCTTGAGGCAGATCAAGATAAATAGGTTATAAAAATCTTCATTATGCTTGCTCCTCTTGAATGCATCATTCAGCACTGTTAAGGGGTACTTCAGTACTAAGATCAATTTGCGCAGTTTTCCAGTGGTGACATGATTTCCAATGGTATGCAAAAGGTGTTCTCCAGGTTCATTTACCTAATTTACTTTGTTTTAAATGGAAATCCACATGTCATTATTATTGACACTTGAGGCTATAGTAACAACCGACATGGCATGCCTGTTCCAGGATTTGGCACACCACCCTTTTTCAGTCCGGCATGTTTCTTATGGAGGAGAATATATAATGATACTGTACAATTTTCATATTTTTGATTCAGTATGGGTTTGAAAAATGTATAACTTTACAGATACTAAAGGCGCAGCTTTGCACTTTTTGTATAATTGCGGGATTTTGCTGCACACTGGATGTGTGACCAAGCGACCTGTGATCACTTTATGTCAATTTGAGTAGCGAGTCTACCGTTTTTGTTTTCATACTATTATGGAGTGAGAAAGGCACGTGTGCATAAGGCAGAGAGATTGGAGTGCATCATGTAGGTTATTCGCACTTTTTTATTTGCCATGAATGTGGAAATGGTAATGATACCCAGCCTTCAGTATTGCTTATATCTGTTGTAGTCACTGGGTTGATGAATGATCACTCTAGCATCTTTTTCCCCCGTCCATTTATACCAAGTCTTACATTGAGTTTTTAACTATAGCGAGTAGTCCATCTGCTTTGCGTCGTTCTAAAGGGTAATTCGTTGACAAATATTTCCACTGTTTCTAATGCACTAGTAGATGTTGCCGCTGAGAGCGCGTTTATTTCATAAGCCTCTACTGTGCAAACTTAACTTTAATGTGTTGTTGAGCTAGGTCTTCGCTTATGTCCCTTTTTTCCCCAGCAAGTGCCAGCCACCGAAATAGGTGTGTGTGTAGGTTTTATAGTGTGTGAAATGCAAGGAGGCCGTGTGCTTTCGCTTTTTCAAAATCTCAGGCACCTTGAATGATGCAACGAGCATGTTATGACTTTCCGATTCAATCTTCACCAATGAGCAGTTGTATCGACACGTATTTGCGTCATCAGGGTTGATGATGAGTGAATACTAGCATGCGTATGAAAAAGGTATGGGGTGATGTCACTAGGGTAACATGCATAGATCTTCACTGTATAGATTCTTAATAGGTTGAGTAGAAACAATCTGTGTTTGTGAACTTTTATACCTTTTCTTTCTTTTGTGTTATTCAGAAACAAAGCACATACATCCAACACAATGAATCCTTTTTTCTGACAACATGGATCAAATCATTTTTTACTTCTGCGCTTTATTATATTATAGCATTCTGGTAGGCAGATTATTAAATAAAAAGGGCTTTAAGCACATTGAATAACGAAACCTTTAGATCAACCGTGACCAATATAGTTACATTCATTCCATAGTTAGAAAATCATAGAAATATTAGCCTTCATAAAACAAAATAGGGAATACTTTAAGAAAAAGAAAAAACAAGCAAAGCACGAGATGCCTCGGCAGCCAACGAAAAACCGAATCGCAATGCATGATGTTATCGGTCAACCCCTTACCGCCATACCTGATACCGTCGATGCGATTCTTCGCCGTCCTGAGCCACTGGATGATATAGAGGTACGCGGTATTTTTCACGAAAGCTCCTATATTCTATTGCGTGCAGAGGAAGCACTTTCGGTAAAAGATGGTGAAGCTTTTTGTGCATTATTCAAGCTTTTTTCAGAGGCGTTTGCTCACAGCGATGTCATGTTTGAGGAGGGCATTAAAACTTTTGTCTTGCATAAAACATTGTTGGAGACCGTACATTCTATCTTTTGTGTGATAGTGAGACAGCGACACCTTCCACCCCATAACCCTGGAACAATAGAGTTGATCCATGTTATCAGCAACCTGTGTGATAGTGAGGGGCTAAAAGATAACTGCGGAGTTTTTTTTATGTCAGATTTGGCCCAGTTGCTTATGTGTGTCTACGAGGATAAATATGAAGCGAAAAAGCATTTCCATCTCCAAAGAGGAGTTACCACGGCACTCATTAACCTAGTCAAGGGTTCCAAGGAAAATAAACTGCGTTTGAGTTCTTGGAAGTTTGTGGCCGACTGCTGTATGGCTAGTGTGGATGTTTTCTTTCAACTACAGTGCTCTGAGCTGCTGTTTCGAGTGTCACGACCAAAAAGGAGCGTACTGACAGAATTGAAGGGCTCACTTCGACAAGATATCCTTGATAAACTAAGTTCACTTCCTAATGATAGTACACTTTTGCGAAGGATGATCGACTTAATCCAGGACTTGAATTCTGATAACCCTGAGGTGTTGCACTTTTATCTCAAGCAGGTAGATGCAGCGGATACATTGTTGACGGAAAGCACAGATGCATACTTCACACCTCACTATTTTACTGTCATGGTCACTTCATCTAACGCAGATAACATTACTATTCCATACAAGTCCATTCGCTCTATAACGCTTGGTAAAGATGGTCGTATCATCATCAAATTGGAGGATTTTCCTGTCAAACTTGAGGTGCTTCTGAGTCACACTCCTGGCATGGATATTATTACTCTGCACCTAACGGTGGAACGTCTGCGTGCATTCAAGCAGTCGGCTATTCATGAGTGGATTGTCTCCGAGTTGACTGCCAAGAAGTCAACTATATCTCAACAAACAGAACAAGCTATTCCCTCTACTTCTATTAATCATGATCATTGCTCCAACATTAGTCGTTTGAAACGTCAGACATCTGAGATATCGCGCGAAAAGATTGACAACAGACAACAGGACTTGCCCACTGGTGTGACCACCGCAGAGCAGCCTTCAGTATCCACTAGAGGCACGCTGCATAAAAAAGCAATGCTCAAGCCGTTGACGAGCCTAGAAACCCCGGGTTCGTTCGAACTGGAGAAGCCCTTACTTGATATTATTGATAACATATCGAAGAGTGCATCTTCAGAAGAGGCGCATGCGATTTTTGCTCAGTTAAATCGCCTAATTGAGGCCAAGGTAGAAGTGAGTCACGGTGGGGCTGTGACATCACTGAGCAGGCAGATGTCGTTGATTCAAAAAAAAGTGGATACAGCGCGCAGCGAGGCATCTGAAAGCCGTAATTTGTGGCAGCAAAACATGATAGCAGAGATGGAGAAGCTCGAACAGCACATCAATCTTACACAAACCATGGTTGTCGATGGCGTGTTGAAATTAAACGAGGACCTTCGCCAAGTAAAGCAAAACAACCAGGCCCTCAACGAGCGAATTGCATTCATCGAATTCGAGCTGCAGCGCACCTTAGAGGAGAGCCGGGGTGTGGAATTAATGGAAGTGCAAGAATTACAGGATATGTGCAAGAGAGATGTCGAACAACACGAATTTGAGCTGGATCAGCAAATGATAAACAGACACAACTCAGGTGTATCTCTAATGAACTACTTCCGAGAATCCCCACTGTGCGATAGTGCTTAGAAAATATGCTTGTTACGAAGTACCAGTCAGAACATTGTGGTGTGTTAGTTTTTTTTTTCCCCTACCTCAGGACGTGAGTTTGACTTTTTTTTAGGTTTGTAAATGTACTGAAATATGCGTTTTTATTCGTACGATTTTTTTTTCCTATGATGATAGTGATGAAAAGGGTCTAATACTTTTTATTTTTTCCTTTTTTATTATTTTAAAATTTCAGAGTTTTTTCCTTAAAGCTTCATATATACATATATATATATTTTTCAGTTACAAAGGGGCAACATTCAGAAAAAAAGGATGCTATGGATGAGGGATGCGGTGAATGCCCAGCCAGCGCTGGATACAGTCACCAAACAGCAGCTGATGCTTCCTGCTTCGGAGGCATTCTCCATGTTTCCCGACAACACAGTGCTGCGTGTGTTTCAAGTAGACGCCCTTGCTACCCAAGAAGATATACTTGATATACTCCGAAACAGTCTATTTCAAGTATTCAGCATTCCCCCTTTTAATTCCTTTCGTTTCGCATATCAAGAGGAACTGACGCTGGGGTTGGATACATTTCTTTATTATTTTTCGACGTGGAGGCTGGGACAGTCGGTTGGTGATCGCATTCATAACTTGGTTATGCGCGACGAGGAAAGCGCGAAGGCAAAAGGTTTGCAGTCTTCCACCTACCTAGTTCCCTGTTTAGCCCCAACACGACGCCTTTTGGTAGTACACGCAGTCCTTACGCTGTTGGTACCATATGTGTGCCGCAAAATACAGAGGATAATTCTGAGTGAGGGGTGGGAAAGAGAGGAACCCTCCACATGGAAGCATATTTTTGCAAAAACTTTTCGCTATGCCGCCACTGGGTGGTCTTTCTTCTCGGTAGTGAACACACTCCGTTTCCTTGTCACTGGAGGGTATCGCACACCAATTGAGTATCTTCTGTCTTTGCGTATGGTCTACGGCAGCCAGAAGATGATCCGTTTCACTAATCTAATCTATCTTAATCAATACCTATGGTGGACGACATGGACCTCGTTGCTTTCGGTGCTTAACTTCGGAAGCTACTTGCGGCGCCTGCTTCACGCCGTCCAGTCCGTGACGTCAGCGGCCAGCGGCGGATTGATCACGGGGGATACAGTATGCTGTGTATGCCACCACACCCCAACATTGAGCCAGCGCTCTAACTGCGGACACCTCTACTGCTATTACTGCATTAAAAGCCGCCTTATGGACAGCGAGTCGTCAGGATCTTTCCGTTGCTACAGGTGTGGTCAAGCAGTGCACAATTGCTTTTCTGATACATAAAACAAAATATAGTTTATATGAGAGAGAATTGTAAAAAAGTTCAAGGTAAAAAAATCACACACACTCATACATATATTTATATAAATATATGTATGTATAATGATGACTATGATTATTATTATTAGAAGGATATTTTCACATTAGATGGTTTAAGCGTATTGATTCACGCAATTTGGAATAATTAATCCTAATGCTGTATTTAATATCTATATATCTATCTATGTCTACAACTATATATGTTAACATACCCAATTATTCTGTTTCTATGGAATTTATATTAATATAAATTCGTACATACTCATAAATCACTACCTTTTAATCCATTATCTATGTCTAACTTAATTCTTCGATTGTAAAAACATTTTACATGTTGCAAGTTATTTGCAAATTTGTTGTATTGTGATTTTTTGGTTGTACTACATATATTTTTTACAATTACACCTCCTTTACGAGTCAAATGGACCCAACACTAGCAATTTCCTCGCCATTTTACAACGAACATAGGGCCACTAATGGTACCTTAGACAATGTAATTGCCCAAATTGCTGGTAAGGGGGATGATGAAGCCAATAGTCATGGTATTGCTGGTCAAGAGGGGAGATATTTAGCTGCGTGTACAGCATCAACGCTCAATAGCCATCTCTGTAGCTTTTGCAGCAATCGCTCCACCACAGCCTTTCTACCTATGGATGGAATTTATCGCTGTTCTGAATGTGTGGATGGGCAGCGAACCGTAAGCTATCCGCGCCGCTTTCCTATAGGCACGTTTAGGTGTTGTCCTACTTCGCAAGAAGAAGGCGACAGCGGAGTGGTGCGTTGCATTGTGTGCCACAATTGGTACCACTTGAATTGTGTTGGCATAAACGAAAAGGTGCTACAGAATTATGTGAGGTTATCAACGACGCGATGGTACTGCCCTGAGCCGGCCTGCTGCAAAAAAGCTTTAAAAAAAGGACTAAAAAAACAAAGGAGTGATAAACAAGCAAATACTTCTTTGACATAATCCAAATATATATTCATCAGCGAATGTTTTTTTGCTGCATTATAGTCTTTCAGATTAGATGAATAAATAGATCGTTCAACCGATATGCTTGGCATTTATTTTCTCATGAATACTGTATATCATCTCATAAGAAGTTTCTGAGGATTCTATAGGTGGTTCGAATTTCTGTTTTTACATTTTTTCCTTTTTTTCTTCGAGTTTTAGAATTCATTGCCTCAATTGTTGCTAATATACGTTTTGAAACATAAATACAGTCACAAGGAAGCATTTTTCCAAAGTTATTTAGATGTATTCCTTTGAGTTTGTTTCATTATTTGCTCTTATCGCAGTTGCGCTATCAATGTCGGCAATCGTTTCGGCAACCAACTTGCCTAATTGTACATTCTTTACTGGCTCGTGGCAGCGTGATTCCATACATTGGAGTTTGACAACACCCCCAAAGGATACACATCGTATGCAAATTGCAGAATTGTATACTCCTAAAGAGGGTTCCAAACCTTTTTACATTGCTTTAAGATTGAAACTTCGTAAGGGACTACATCATCATTTTGGTACCTTTTCAACCTCAAGACCACTATTTGCGCTGTGCCCTCTCTCTATCGAATGCCCTTCGGAGACAAGTAAGGACCTAATATCACTTTTTGATCAAGGCAAACTCATTCGCATATTCTCATCAACAACAAACAAGCTTCAGCTATTGTATGGCTGTTATTCACAAAACCATTACAAGGTCTACCGCCGTATATACGAGTTCACTGGTCAGGTTTTGTTACCTGTATCTTTTAATGACACTTCGGTTCTACTGCAAGCTCACGCCAGGGAAATGGATTGCGTAGCTATTGCTTCCAGTGATGACTCCAACTCAGCATTGATGCTCATTCAGACCCTACGAAGTTCTAAGATGGTGCGAATCTCCCAGAAAGGCATAACGACAGAGGTGGACGTGCAATCGTTGGTCCTGTTTGGGGGTCCAGAGAAACGCTTCGAGGCAAAACATCTATGTTATAACAGCCACAATGGTCTTGCGGTTGGTAGCCTTATATGGCAGGATACATTTAAAGGAATAGCTGTATTGCAGTTATTCAAATTAAATGATGGTGTCTTTCCCACTACAACACTATTTTACGAGCTTGACACCACCTCCTACGCTGACAGCGATGCTTCATTGGTGTCATCCTGTGGGTCGGTGCAGAGACTATCTTTCGAAGGCTGCAGACTTATTCCGATATTTGACGATGATGATGCTCCCCTGGCAATTGAGATTGACGTTTCCGTCCACACCCCGGCAGCGGGTGGTCCTACTTCAGCGTCCGGGACGACGTGGCAGTACTGTAGGGGCGCATCCTATCGCGCGGTTATCAGCTTACAAAAGCATGCTCGCGCGGATCCTAAAGGTGGCGATGACGTAGTTGAAGTTTCATCCTTTGAGAAAATTAAGACCCCCCGGAAAGAGATGCACGCGTCGGACGAAGGGATTGGGGCGACAGAATGGGTGAACGTTCATCAGCCTTTTGCTTCAACTCTTGAGTCTTTCTCATCAACACCGCTAGGCTTACGCAAATTATCGAAAAGCTGCAGAGATCATATGACGCGGTGGTGGGAGCTTCCCAATAACCTCACGACTTGGTGTTGTGTGCATCTAAGCTTCACTTACCTTGATGCATGTTACCTATATACAGGTATTTTATTCTTTGTTTTAGGCTACAAAGTACTTAATCTTTTCTATTTTTCCTATTAATCAAGTATTTTTTTTCTCTAAAATAGTTCACATTTACATACTTATCCGCTATATAAAAAATTAATAAATCACTTTCACTATTTCATATTTTATCAGATTCCATGTTTGTTGAATAACAATTGTCTATAGACATTACTTTTTCTATTTCACTGCTATGCCCATTAAAGGAAAGCCTCCATTTTACTTTTGTATCACATACTGGTTAACTATTAGGGATGCGATGATTAAAAAAAATGGAAGCATCTAGAGAACAAAGTTTAAGTATTATTTTTGTTGCTTTACAAATATCGCGGTAATCCTTTTAAGTGATTATAAGACCATCAACGATAAAACTAGTCATACATCGATAAACCAGAAACAATGATTAAAATGGGGGATGCTATTTGCTCTCTTCCAGTTTTTTCACATTATTTATGTTCAATCTGTACAGCATGTCTACGGGTATTTCTATTAGCATGATAGCTAGAGGCGCTTTGAATTATTCATATGACATAGGGATCTTTTATTAAGAATATCTGAGCATCTTGCCATTTGCATTCCATTTAAAATGAATCCAGTCGGTGTTCCAAAAATACCAGCAATTCATTTGTGTACTCATCTAAAATTTTGTAATATGCGGTTTTTTTTTTTCAAATCAAAGCAACAAGTTTAAAGAGAGAGGCATCCAAATCGATGCATAAAGCTTTTCCCTCCTTCTATATGACTTATTCACTATCCTTCATTAGCCCCTGTGCATAATTTTTTTAAGATAAATAATTTGAGAATAACTTTTAGTGTTTTGCATACTAAAATTTACCTTGATCGTCCAAGTTACTTTTTTTTGTACACCTTGGGAGGGGTAAGGACATTTCTTTGGTAAAGGCGTTGGGATCGCTGCAAATGGGATTTTTAATGATTGTTGTCTTTTTATTATTATTATTAACGCTACAATAATAGACATAGTAATCGAATTGGGAGAAGTCCAAGACCGATATGAACACATTAGCAGAGATATATTTGAATACATTTCCAAAAAAGCTCCGTTTTGATCGAGCTAGTCAGATTCTTTACGCACAATGCTATTTAGTATTGAAGCAGTATAAAAACAAGAAGTATATTCCGAAGTCCGAAATACAGGATATTCTAGACCAATACGCTCCCCTGCCTGGAGCTCCATGGTCTCAACTTCCTTTTGTGCGTCATATCCTTTGCATTCGCATTATCAATGTCTTAAGGGTCTTCATGGGACGAAAATCGTGGCTTTATAACCGCAATGTTGATGAGGAGTATACAAAGATAAAGAACTGGCTTGACAAGGAGGATAAAATACGCTTGGGAAAGGAGAAATTATCGCCCAATATTAGAGGTAGCCGAGCAATAATGAACCCGGGTAATTTTATCGAAAGAGAGCGATTTGACCGGGAGCTTCTTTCGACCATTTCTGTGGCCACAATGTACCAGCGCATGGCTCGACTTGGCATGGTATGCGCCCTTTTTCTCATGGGGCTTCTCTTTGCGGCCGTGCTCACGGACTATTTTATTTATTTGATGGTGCGCTTTTGGTGGCGGATGGATCGCGCCGGGACACTTCTGTGGCTGCGTGAGGTCATGGAGAGACATGTGGCCACGGAGGTTCCCCCAGCGTACAAGGATTTACTGCCCCCTCCCTGTGAGCGGATTGTGAATCGGGACCAGGAGGCGATTTACACTGTTAATATTGTCGAGTTAACGTCTGATGAACGTTCAATTACCGTGATGGCGGTGCCTTGTCCGTTGGTGGGGGAAAAGGAGTTTTTTCAAGAGGTCGGCAGGCTCGCCGCGTCCTGCGATTGTGTGGTTGCCGAAGGAGTGAGCTTCGATAAGGTGGATAAGCTTCAGCCTGCGATGTTGTTTCCGCTGCGTACTAACACGTTCCCCTCCTTCGGTGTTCATCACCGCTTTTTGGACATTTTACGTCCAACTGCTGGCGATGAACCGCCTTTACTTTATCCGGCCGGATCAACTATCGGATGGAATGCATTTTTGAAGCAAGTTTTTATCCCTTTTGAGGTCCGCGCTGTGATTCACCCCACAATGCTTTTCGCAACCAAAGCAGAAGCGCGTATTGGATGGGGTCGTCTACGTGCCGTCATCGAGGAGGTCGCGCCTCTTAGCGCGAAGACAAAGGGTTCTACTGCCAGCGGTGGTCAAAATAAGGGAAGGCCACCGCACTACGTCATCTGTATCCCATGGACAGTGAACCAAATCATGAACTTGGAGGCCAGTTTGATAAAGATGGGCTTTAAGGTCAAGCGTGTTTTCCCATTGCACTGGATCCCCGAGGACTATATGGGCAACTGTTTCTGCGATTACTACCGTTTTTATGCCTAGGTACGCTTCTTCCGCGCTTTTTGCATTTCCTTCCCTCTCCTTCCCTTTCATGGACATAATTCTATACTCATCTCGATGGATTCTTGTTCTACCAAAGTTAAAGATCAAACTTCTATTTATCGGTAATTTAATCTTTTAGTATCTCTATTTATTGTCAGCTTTTCAGCTCAAGGAGGGAAGCAAAACGTAAGGGAGAATTTCAAACCCACACATGATTACATAGTTTTGATCTGAATGTGATCATCATCAAAGATAATGCTATTTTTTTTTCTCCTTTCTCAACCAGATGGGGACGTTATAGAAAATTTATGCTATTTTATTGCTTCAGATCATCTTTCAATATTAAAAAATCAAAGCTCTAATTCATTTCTTTTACCTTTCAACACACACATTACAAAATAGACCTGTAATCCAGACACATACAAAGAGTTATTTTTGCTCTTATTTTCTCTATTATCGTCATTTATTTTAAGTGCGACTGGTCCAGAAACATTCCCTATGATAATTGGGAATGTTTCTGTGTTCTTTAGAGGTTACCTTGTATTAGGGCCAGACTGGCATCTTATGCTCTCAAGCTGTTTTTTTATTGTTTTTGGTTGTGCAGCGTTTCTCTATACTAACCATATCACTAATATTTGTATAGCTATTGTGATTTTATCTATCCTTTCCCTTGTACTATTATTATTATGTGCATTTTCAAATCCTGGGATCTTAGTTAAGGAGCCACTACCGCCTCCCGATACGCCACCACACGAACCGAGATGGGTAGACATGGAATATTCAAGACCTGATGGCACGCGTGCGGTGGCAAAATTAGAGCAAAAATGGTGCTATAGCTGCAATATTTATCGTCCTCTACGTGCGGTTCACTGCAGGTTTTGTGATGTTTGTATCTTGAGACGAGACCACCACTGCCCGTGGACTGGAATTTGCATTGGCGCTGGTAACTACATCACCTATTTTTCTCTTCTTTGGTCAGTGTTAGTGCTGACACTTATAGCTTTTATTGGGGGAGTGATATCTCTAATTCGACGGATGAAGTTTCATTCTCAGGAAGATTCCAAGCTTGATATCCTAAAGGGTTTTTATGAGGCATTGTCGGATACCTACTACCTGGAGTTTCTTCTTATTTTAATAAATATGATGTGGGTAGTGGTAATTTCGATTTTGGCCGCAAAGCACACCTATTTGATTTCCAAGAATATGACTTCTGGCGATTATATTAAAAGTAACACTGAGAATATTTTCGAGCAAAGTACGTTGTTAGAAAATATCAGGTACTCCCTGTTCTACTTCAGCGGGGCCTGTATCCAAAGCACGAACCTATTGCGCAGTGCAACGACTCAAGAGAGCGTAGTCGTCATCGAATCCGTTTGATGCGGGTTTTCCCTTTGCTTCATTGAATACCGCCGTGCTTCCAAGGCTGGCCATCTTAGCCGGCCGTCAGGATTCAACACCGCGTGTGACAAAGGGAGAGGGGCTCTCGGCCTAAGCACAGCCCCTCCCCCCTTCCCCTTTTGTTGTGGAGGTGTGTCAATGACGTGAGGTCCGGGATGGGTTCGGATGGACCGCTGCGCACATTCGGTGAAACATGTAGAATCCGCCGTGTCAAATGGGTTTGCTAAAACCACGTGGTTTCAGTAGATTATGCATTGGACCATTATCTTCCTTTCACTGACTCGGTTAGCTGTAGTTTTAGGCCTCTTGACTGAGGTGTCTTTGCCCTTCGTTAATCTGAGCGGTCGGTCCCTCTGCCTTTCCCTGGTAGGTAGACTCTTGTCAGAATTTCTTTAAGAGGAGTACCCGAGCATAATGTTATTTTTCAATACTTACAAACACAAACCTAATAGTAATCGAAGACCTTTCCCCTCCGAATTGTGTCTTTGTGTAGGCATCGGATAGCTATCTATTATGTATTGCTTGATTATTCTTATTCCTGCTTTTTATTGCGAGGAGTATAGGATGATAAACTTAAAACTGATATTCCTAAGGGAGTGAAAAGTGGAACTTCAATATTAGAAATCCTCTAACGTGGAAATGTACCTTTAGAATGTCGCACAGTTTCTTCGAGCTTTTCTAAGACAAATCCTAAATGGTATTTAATTTCAGTTTTTTTTTCAGAATTTTATTACTTTAATCTTTAACTAGTATCAAAACCTTAAAAGGTGAAATCAAAATTGTAATTGAAGAGATAGTAATAGGAGAATAACGCGGAAATTCTATAGACTAAAAACACAAATCCAAGAAAAGCATGCAGTTGGCAACTGCCCCCTTTATTTTGCGTTCGCTTTATAAGGACGAGTACATAACGGAAAATCACTTGATTCGACCATCTACCAAACTTATCACTGGTATCTTCGGGACGCACTTTGCCAACCGCCATGACGCACACATTAACGCTGCCTCGAGAGGCCTCTACACGTTATTTTCAATGTTAAAAGGACAGACACTTGGCGAGGAGTTCTGCGATCTGCTCCCGATCACACAAGGACGTAACGCATGGCGCGTTGTTGGAGCCGGACGAAAGACACTATTGGCACTTATACTGATGTTGGAGCCAAGCGTGATTCTCTATGCAGCACGCTCCTACTTTCCTCGCTTAGCGCCTGATGAAGTCATTGAGAATGTTAACCGCGTGGTTCGTGCGCTATTATTTCTTTTTGAGGCTTACGGTACGCTACCACACCGTATCTTGCGGATTCGATATCTGAGTCTGAAGCCATCTCGCTTATTACAGGACAGTGATGGGGCACCGCGTTCGTATCTTATCTTGGGACTCGTGTTAATTGTGGAGCTCGTGGTACGGTTGTGGAAGTATCGTAAGGCTTGTGTAGCAGAGCTCCGAGGGAGGCGCAATAACAAATCGGAATGCGAATCTTCGTGCGCATCGAGTGAGGAGGACGAGAGTGATCCATCAATGGCGACTGGGAAGTGTATGTTGTGCCTGAGCCGCCGTCGGAACCCAACATCCACACAGTGTGGACACATATTCTGCTGGCGTTGCATTGCAGAATGGATACGGTCAAACCCCCGCGAGGCCATGTGCCCCTTCTGTCGTCAACGCATTTCAGCCAGCACACTTGTCCCACTTTTCTTTTACATCGCAAAAGAGGCTCCTAAACTTGGAAGTACTAACTCGTGAGAGATCATGGGGCAAAAATATGAAGCAAATTACATTAAAATGTGTATCCCCAAATACACATACACACACATCTTTTGTAAATGGATTAACGTTCAGTATTACCAAAACTTGAAAGTAGATCCATGTATGAATGCATATGGTATATTGCTTTTTTCATTCCATAGTGTTTAGATCTCAGAAACAAGCAACCTAATGTTTTATTTCAATGACTTTGTGGTGTGGGATGAACATGCCTACAAAGTATCTCTGAAAAGACAAATATATGTAAAAGGGGCATTTCGGAGTGGTACTAAACGTTGAAAATTGGCTGGAACCTAACATGTGGGTTGAGAAACTCAACCATGATAATCGCTATTTGAGTTTTCTGGACCCGCTTTTGCCGCTACTGGGTGAATTTCCGAATCTGCACTAAGTAAAACTCACAGAAACCTCTCTTTACCACATACTAATTTACCCCCTTCAATACGGCTGGAGTATTCATCTGAAAACCTTATCTCATTTTCGAAGAAGTCGTTATAGACTCTATGGCCTACTTTCATTGGTGTCTTGAAACTAACTTCCTTGATTTTGAAGAAAAAGTTAACTGCATTTTCCAACAAGCTTGTGCAATTTAAACACCCATTTTGCGCATGATGTTCCAAGGTGGGGCACAGCTGAGGTTCACGAAGCGTCTTACTCAAAGAGAAGTATAAGGGGGAAATTAATTCAGCATGTTGGAGTAAGTGGGTCCACTATATAGGAAAAGTAAAGCGACTTTTGGCCTATTTTGTAGAGGTTTCCTTGCAGCACGCACATTTGTAAGAGTATTGAAAAAATATTGAATCGTGTGTAAACCGCGCTGAATGTTTGACTACCATCTATTAGGACCCTCTGGCCTAAGAGGACAAAGTGTCGAGGGTACACCAGCTTTTGTTTGAGTATTGATTTAATTCAATAGTCACGATTATCATGCCGAAGAGCGATGTCTCTAGATAAATAATGAGAACGTTATAAAAGTATAGCTGCAGTTTAATCAATCAATGAAATGTGAACTGACGACGTATTCCATGACTGTGATACCCCTATCTCCTTAATGTTCATTGACATTAAGGGCTCATTTCAGCGAATCCATCAGTTCAAGGATTACGCTAGACATTTTCCCAACTTCAGTGGTGAAGAAGGCACGGATTACATTTAGTTACGAAGTAGTGAATGTGCTAAACACAGTGGAATAGCAGTACCTGGCAAGCCTGTGATTTCGCTGAATGAACATCAGTTTTTATTTTTTGTAGGAATATTGTGTTCCTAATTTACGTTAAAGACTCCCTTGGCAAACTGAAAAGGATGCACTCTAATGAGATGGCACTGAACGATTTCATCGCAACATAGCACTTTATTTTTGATCCAACTGCCCTCAAAATTCTTACAGCGTGTTAAACCTTTATTAACATAAAGTATCGCCCCTTAGATAGCTCAAGGGTGTCATTGATGCGATTTACTCCCCGAAGGCCAAAGATAATGTCAATAGGCCTGAAATGTGGGGAAATATGGAGGGTAACATATGGACACTTATCCAACCTAGCGCCACCCCTTACAAAGGATCATCTTCAAATGACCCCCAGCACGGCCTAGGGAATCTGCCACTATAGCGTAGAGGACAATGCTCTCACACTGTTCACCAAAGTATTTCAAGACAACATCCACAAAGAGTCACACCGAATATAGAAAAGGGCAGGTGGAAATCCATCCTCGGGCTTATTTGGTCGAAGGTATCAAACAAACGACCTTCTCCAAGCAAGATCAACCCACTTCAGTTTTTGTGTTTGGAAGTCAATTGCTTACACGAGCAAAATGAATGAGTTGATGTCGTAACGTACCCCTATGATAAAGAAGGTACTATGGATTTCAACGAGGTTGGTATTCAAGCCATTAATTCTGAATTGGTACTCGTCATGAAGCTTATCTAACCTTGAGTAAAGATGGACCCCAAGACCAGATTTGGAAAAATTAGATTTAAGGATTTTGACCATATTTTGTTTAATCTTTATTCAAGCCAACGCGGACATTATTTATTTATTTGCCACTATAAGCTAAAGTGCTTCTTTGATAAAACACTAATCAGAATGATATAGCGAATAACGAGTAGTTCATCCCCATTGTGTGTACTATAGTCTCACCTAAGGATAGATGGACGTCATTAAAGAGGCCGAATACCATCACTGTTCTAGAAATCCAGCACATTATGCATTTAAAACCTTCTAAATTTCTAAACCATGAAATTGCGAAATAAATTTGTTGAGATGAGTGGAGTGTTTTTTCCTTTAGCGTCAATCATATACAGTATTTTACTATAACTCGACATTACATAGGAGACAATACAAGTTTTATTTTTCACAAACCCTTGTTATGAGTCAAAAGGATTACACTATGTAAGTCTTTTGTATATGTTAAGATCCGGTTACTTTTAGTATATTTTTCTGTCAAATAACTGATTTTTTTGTCTTCAAAATATTTCAACAACCTTTAACTCTCTTATTCTTTTGAAGATTCTTGTGATCTATTCTAAAAGAGACAGCTGTAGAAAAGGGAGGGTTCCTCAATTAAGCCATAATCATGATAAGGAATAATGGGTGAGTTCTTGGATTCTCTTCCATCATCAATAATTTCATGCACCAACATCGGTTCACTAAACAAAGCCAAAAAAATTGATGACCTAAGCTATAGCGATGTCGCAAAGTGTTTTATGTACGCTCGCCGAAGTAGTATACATACACAGCCATTACCCACCAGTCCTAAGGAAATAAAAAAAGCATTATGTATATTAAACGACGCTCGTTGTTATGAAATGAATACGTTTTTTAAGGGCTACATGCATCTCCATGAGGACATACCGGACTCCATTCTCGACGCGATTCGTACCCAGTGTGTTAATTTGGATTGCAAGACGGCTTTTCAGTACCAGATGCAGGCATTTAATGTGCTTTGCAATGAAATACGTGCAAAAAGTTCTGCCATTACTCTTAATCACAAGTTGTGCAATTCTTCATATTTGCTTAAGCTGCGTCAGATCCTTCCGGCCATGAAATATGTACCGAAAGTTTCTATTAAACAATGCCATTTTAGGTTTATAGGGACGCTCTCTTCGGACCCCGCCTTCAATCAACGTGTCTTTGTAGCGAGCATAAGTTTTCGAAACAATGGACAACGGGCTCTCACGCTAAAGGTGACCCAAATCCAAATTATTCTTGACGGGGTCAAGACTGAGAGCAAGTCTTTTCAGGGCTCTGGCGACAGTTATAGGCTGATACAAGGGGAGTCGATCGACCTAGATTTGTCCATCAAAGAAGTCACACAACCAAATTTCACCGAATTCCAGCAGATTCTTGTGATCACCATCAACGAAGTTTTAAAGGTTTTTGTAACGTTTTTTGTTTTGTCACCCAAACAGCGACTTTTTCAGCAACGTTTCCCTTCCTGTATGGTGTTGAAAGTTGTTAACTCCCCTCTCGGCGTCTACACGTCTCCACTCATGCTTCAAATTTTTAAACACGTTCTAATCTTGAAGAAAGGGCTTTCCAGCCCGGCTGTTATGCATCTTATGATGGATAAGTCCACCCATTATCGATCCCAAAATCGAGAAACAATGCTTGAAGTCCTCCGCATCAAAAAGCTCTTACAAGAGCAACTCGACCTTTCCAAAGTATTGGATCATTTTTGGAGCTCATTCCAGGGTATTGAGAGAGTACCCATAGAACGACGCTACAAGTTGCCCCCATCCTCGGCCCAACCTCATGGCTATTCTCCCGCAGCGGACTCGCCCGCTTTCGGGGTTTCGATGGGGTATGATTATTTGTTTCCTAACAGGCAAACATGGCTCCCAGATTGTCTGATCAACGCACCACCAGAGGTGTCAATGGGCTTAATTTTGCTTTGGCTGGCCGATATGGACGAGAACATTTTTGAGGCGCCTTTGGGTACTGGGGACCCGATCGCGTATTTCGTGAACATGCCGGCCCACCGGCGCGGGGTGATTCTGTGGATCCTCGATCTGTGTTGTGCTTTAATTCATAACAGTGCGAAGAATGGCGCAACAGGACGCGGCCTCGCGCTTACTTTTACCAACATTCTAATGCGAAAAACAGCAGCTTTCAAGGCTGCAGGCTTGGGGGCCCCTGACGGCACCCTACCCGATACGACAGTTTACTTTATTGGATCCTCTTTTTTGTCAGAAGTTGAAAAACGACAGAGTGGTGTAACCATTTTTCTTCATTGGCTAAAAATATATGCTTATCGCTATGAAAGGGCATTGTAGTGCGATCATCAAGAGTAATAAAGATACTCTTGGTAACCATCGCCGTCAGCTATTTGCATTTATTCATTGCTTTCGTGGTAAGGGACTTAACAGATCTACATACATTTATACTTATTAATCCCTTTAAAGTACAAGAATAATTAAATCGTGATCTCATTGGGAGTTCGACTATTTCAATATTACGTTTATGTTATTGTTTTTTGATTCATAATTTTCAGAATTATGAAGGTTTCCTTATTCTTCTTAATGAGAGTTTAGGAATGGAAAATTATCTTTTTTTTTACCTCTTTCTACATCTTTCTGATGGCTGTTTTTAGTCTTTATTAGGCCCTTTTCTGAATCCTAAGGTCCTTCGATTTGATATTTCCTATTTAATTAAAATAAAATGACCACCAATACAGAAGAAAAAAAATTGCTCAAGAGAACCAGCTCTCTTCCTCCTTTACCAGGGAAGTCTCCTTTGTCTGTCCTTCACCCTTTCTCCTGTAGGGTTGCCGGACTTCTCTCTCCAATGTCGTTGATAGATCAAAAATGGACTTTTTCTTTCAGTTACTATGCAATCTTTAGCACCCTTATGGTTTCTTTTCCAATTGCTTATGTTTTTGAAGATGTAGTATTATGTGTCTATTCCATTCTAGCGGCGGCTTGTGTATCAGCAGTTGTGTGCTTGCCAAACTGGAGGCAAAATATCGATTCTGATTTAACATGGGTGTCAAATAAAAAGGTAATCGAATACTACGATAAACTCGCTGCAGCCAAGAACACCACAAAAAAAATTACCAAAGGCAAAGGAAAGAATGTTAAAGTTGAATAAAGATATGTGTTAATGAATGTTATTGAGAAAGATAAATTTTACATTTTAAAATCGAAACAAATTGAGCGTTGATATGACCACAGAGGTTGCATCACAAAGTCATTCCCATTCTATCGCCCTTCACAAAAGGTGTGCACCAATTAAATTATTAATACGCTTCTCACACGCAGCTTTTTGGATTATTGGTTTCCGAACCCATCTGTATTGTCTTGCGTCCCAACAAGTATGTGAAACACCGGCTAGAAAATACGGACTCGTTTTCTTGTAGAACAAACAAACAAAAAAAGGTCGCACCGAGTGTGGTGCTTTTAACGATAGGAAAGAAAGCCGTTACGGCATGCGACCGATGGCTCGGGCGTCCGAGGACGACCAGCCGTTTTCCTCCCCCCCCGGCCCCGGGAAGGCTTCCTTCGGCCTCCCGACCGAGCGGCGCCGGCTGCGACTGGACACGGGGGACGTCTACGACGGCGCGGTCATCGTCCGAGACGGCACGGCCGTCCCTCACGGCCACGGCGCTCTCAGCTCGGCCTGCGGGCGCTACACCTACGTGGGCGGGTTTGTCCACCGGCGGCGGGATGGCCCGGGACGGCTGAGCTCGCCCCAGGCCGTGCTGTGGTGCCAGTGGCGGATGGACACCCCCGACCTGTCTCGCCCCGCGCGGCTGGAC